AATATTAAGAAAGGCTTATCTAAGATCTATGAATATGAAAATCAAGTAACGCACTTGATACTTAAACTGTAAGACGAAGAAAGAGAAGAAGGAGGTGGAAAAATAGAGAAAAGAAGGAAAGAAAAGAAAAAGAAAAAGAGGGCACATGGCAGAGAATAATATATATACTAGAGCGGAGAATAATATTAAAGCAGATAGGAATTTCATGATGTACCCAATTATTTATGTGCAGGAAATTAAGGGCGATTTATCTAGAGCAGGAAATATAATATATTATATTTTAAATTAGTTTTAATTTCATTCTTTTTTTAAAAACACCAACAGATGTAGAAAAATCAATTATTTCATATTTGTTAATGAGTGAGGCAATGGTATAGCTGAATGACTTTTTGAAGAATTCTTTATTGTGAGACGGTATTGTCAAAAGCTGTTTCCTGCGAATGTTTAAATTATGAATGTCAGTTCGATATTTGATTTTATTGTGTAGGTATGGTGGAGTTTTAAATTTTATTAATTTATAAAAGAAGCATAGTGAGTGCAGACTACGCCTGTTAAACATACTTAACCAGCCCAATTCATTCAGTTTATGTGAAACTCGGTCTCTTCGTCTTATTCCACACGCAAACCTAATGCAAGAGTTCTGAACCTTTTGGACTCTCCTAACATCTATCGAATCCAAAAAAGGCCCATATAGGTGATCGCAAAAATTAAAATGCGAGAGAATTAAAGAGTCGCAAATCAAAGTTTTAGTTCTTTGACAAAGATAGTGTCTATGAGAGTATAAACCCCTCAAAACTGAATATGCTCTTTTTAAGCAAAGTGTTATGTGTTCTTTAAATTTGAGTTTGCTATCCATGACAAGTCCCAAGTTTTTAGCCGAATTTTTAAATGATATCGTGTCTTGTCCTAGATTTAGTTCAATATTGCCTAAAAGATCATTTCTAATATTTTCATTACAAAACAGGAGAGCTACCGATTTGTTAGGATTTATTTTAAGCAAATGTTTATTTGATTCATCAAGCAACGATTTCAGATCTTCATTGATCAGCTTATTGGCTGCAGCTACTTCTGAAGGTTTGAAAGATAAATAGATTTGCGTATCGTCTGCGTATAAGTGGTATTGACAAAATTTTAATGATTTTATAAAGTTAGAGGTGAATATACTATACAAAAGAGGACCCAAAATACTACCCTGAGGCACTCCCGCAAAGACATTAAGAGATTCCGAATATTGTCCGTCAAGAGTAACTCTTTGAGATCTCTTTGAAAGGAATGAGGACACAAGTAGAGACGCCGACTTACTGAAGCCTACGTATTTTAAAATCGACAGAAGAATTTCATGGTGAAGCATATCAAATGCTTTTGTATAGTCTAATAAAATGAGCACACTAGCATTGCTGTTGTCCTGCGCCCGCACTATATCATCAGTTAAATCAGACAAAGCTGTTGAGCAGCTATAGCCCGCTCTAAAGCCGGATTGTTTGCTGGGTATTATGTTATTGTTGTTGAGGAATGTATTTATCTGAAGTTCCATAACTTTTTCAAGGATTTTTGAGAGAGTGGGTAAAATAGAAATTGATCGTAAATGACCAAACTCGGTAGGATTTTTAATTTTGGGGAGAGGAATTACATTGGCGGACTTCCAAGATTGGGGAAAGTGTGATTCACTTAGGCAGCAATTTATAATGTGTGTTATAAATGGAATTATAAATGGACAACACAAAGTAATCAGCGTTATATTGAGATTATCCGATCCTAGAGCTTTAGATTTGAGTTTAAGGAGAATTTTGGAAATCAAATATTCGCTAACTGGCTGAAAAAAAAAAGTTTCATTGACCAATAAATTATTTTTATAAAAGTTTATGAGTTCTTGGTTAGGTATATCATTGCTATTTGTTATTTGCGTAAAATACTTATTAAGTTGGTCTAAATTTGTCAGATTACTTGGTATGGTGTTACTTTTTTTATTTGTTATGATATTAAGTTTTTTAAGTTCGTTCCATTTTTCCTTTGTGCTGCAAGTTTGAAGTTTAAAATTTAGGTAAGCTTTTTTTTCAGATCTAATAGCCGATGTTGTGTAATTTCTCAATTGCTTATAATAATTCCAGTGTTCTTGGTTTTTAGTCCTTCGAAAACGGTTTAAAGCTTGATTTCTGAGTTTTTTCATGTATTTTATGTTGTCAGTTATCCATGGACAGTAGGGTCTTTTTTTTCCTCTGTAAACTTTTGAGGGTGCATGAATATCGAAAATGTGCAATATAGTGTCAGTTAAATATAATACCTTTTGATCTATAGATTCTATCTCATATAAAATATTCCAATCAGCACTTTCCAAATCTGCCTGAAATCTGATTAAGTTAATTTGATTTAAAGGTCGATATGTATAAACGATTTTTTCAGGCTCTAACATCAAAAACTGGAGACAGCAATATACAAGAAGATGATCGGATATGCCAACATCAATTACTCCTACATCCTGAATATTATCCGAGTTGTAACAAATCAAGTCGATTAGTGTTTCACTTATATTCGAAATCCTAGTTGGTTCAGAAATTAACTGATTTAAACCAAATGTTTCTAAAATATTATTAAGTTGACTTACATATCCGGAATCAATGTCTAGCATGTTTATGTTAAAGTCTCCAAAACATATAATTATTAATAGATCCTTGATTAGTGCTGTGTTCCCGAATGAATGGAAAAAGAGCTATGTTGTTCCTATTTTTAAAAGTGGTCAAAGAGAAAATATTGAAAATTATCGTAGTGTTTGTATTCCATCCGCAATACCAAAGCTCTTTGACTGTCTTGTTGGCAAGCAACTGAGCTGGATGTGTAAAGGTTTAATTTCTGTGGAGCAGCATGGCTTTTGTCAAAATAAATCCACATTGACGAACTTGGTAGGTTACCAGACAAGCATTTTGCATCATATGGAGGGGCAGAAACAAGTAGACTCTATATATACAGACTTTGCTAAGGCCTTCGATAGGGTGGATCACCGGATACTCTTGCAGAAGTTAACCAAGATTGGTTTTCATTCTCATTTTGTTAGGTGGATCCAGAGCTCACTGACTGATCGTATCCAACATGCTAAAGTAGGTTGTTATTTTTCTGAGTCAATCTCTGTTACATCGGGTGTCCCGCAGGGCGGCCACTGTTTATTATTTTTGTTAATGATATAACTGATTGTTTTATAAACAGTGAGTGTGCAAAATTTGCAGATGATTTGAAATTTTGGAGAACGGTGGAGAGCATTGTGGACCAGTTGCTTCTGCAGGAGGATCTGGATTGCTTGTCCGTGTGGTGTGTAGAAAATAAGTTATCTCTGAATATGGATAAATGTTGCTATATTAGTTTTTCAAGGAAAGTAAATAAAATTCAAACTAGTTACTTTATTAACAATCAGTCTCTGAAGTGTGTGTCTAGAGTGAAAGATTTGGGTGTTATTTTAGACGAGAGATTATCTTTTATTGATCACATAAATTCGGTTGCAGTAAGGGCTTCGAAGATGTTGGGTTTCGTCGTGAGAAACTATCAATGCTTCTCTGTGGAGGCTACCAGGGTTGTCTACTGCTCCTTGGTAAGGTCAACATTGGAATATTGCTCTGTGGTGTGGTCACCATATTTTCAGATTCATATGGATTCCTTGGAGAGGGTGCAACATAAATTTCTTAGAGTGTGTGCGTTTAAAAATGGCTTTGCTATGGCTGACCACGACTATAGAGCAATGGAACAACAATTGTCATTGAGTCCTCTGGGCCTTCGTAGAGATAGTTTTGGTGTAGCATTTATATACAAATTAATACATGGGTTAATTGACTGTCCAAGTCTCCTTTCTTCAGTTAGTTTTAATGTACCCACTAGGGGACTGCGGCAACACCCAACATTTCTCATACCTTTTCACCGCACAACATATGGTGAAAATAATCCTATTGACATATATGTCATTAATTAATAACTTAAATATTGATACCCTAGGGGCCGATACTTTTGCTCTCGATTAACGAATTTGATATGTTGTCAAAGTTTTGCATGGGCCAAGGTCTATAAGTATGATGTGGTTAGAGCACATTCAAAGCCCTGATTATTTTTAACGGCTGTCAAATGACAGCAAAAGTACCGGCACTAGGTCAATTAAAAACGTACCTGAAGAATATGTGATATTTTTTGTATAACAGGGTCAATTCTGGTTTGTGTATTATTTGTTGTACCTAATTCTATTTTATGTTTCCATATGTTAACTACTCATTATCAAGATCAAGATATTTTTCATAATACCTACATACTTTTACTAATACTAATACCTACTTACTTAAAAGATGATTTTTGTCTGTACTTGATTTGTTTTATATTATTGTGTAGTATTAATTTTTATAGTTAAATACCTAATATTTATTATTTATGTAGTTATAGTTATAATATACTTAGTACCTAACTTATGCTTTATTCTTTATATTTTTTCTTAAATTGTATTTTAACAGTTAATGGGGTTTTCCCGTAAATAAATAAATAAAGATTTCGTCCCATTTAAAGGTTGTTCAGAACTAAATCCTCTACAACATATCAAAAACTGGGAAAAATCCATAGAGCCCGAAAATCCCATGTTAGGTGTGCGTTATCCTTTGGGATTAGTGATTGAACTAAGATTATTTTTTTTTAAATTATAACTACATGGTTGGATTTTTCATACTTCAAACACTTTCAAATAGTTATTACTGTTATTAGGTGGGAATAGAACCTTGTTTACTAAGAGCTCATTGAAGTGGGGACTTGGTTCCAAACGAGGTTCCAAAGAAGCCTCACAATTAAAATATTAAATTATAATAAAAAAAACTTGGATAAACAGAATTAAACTTTAGGTCATGATAATTATTAATGGAAAAGCTCTAACTTAAACTTTTGGAGGGAATAAACTTAAAAAACAAACCCAATTATAACCTATTTGCTTTAACCTTGTATATTCTAGTTTATTAATGAAAAAAAAAAGTGTAGGTAAAACTTACCCCATTGGAGGAATGGTTCTCCTTTCCGAAGGCGGCCTCTGACCAAACACCGGGGTAACATGCCCCGACATAGAATTACTGCCAAAACTAACACTAGACCTTCCGAGGCTGCTACCTCCAATGTTCCTTGTAAAGTTTAAATTCGCCATGGCTATCTGTTCAATGCCCGGCCACTTTTCACCATAACTGATGCCGCTAATGATGATTTGCGTTTGTCCGGTTTGTTTTATCACTTTTTTCGTCGTACTCTGGATCTATTCTATCACTAAAAATACAAACATACTACTACAAGAACAACTAATTGTAATTGAACACTTTTTTTTGAAACTTAAATGCAATAGTGGAGATGGTACGGTCGTAGGAAAAAAACCCTGTGGTCGTTCTAGTACAGGACTATTCCGTCGGTTTTTTGCCCCAGAATATGGTACTGATTGATTAAAGGCTAAAGGATTTTTTTTACAATTATTTCTCTGTGAATAAATGTTATTGTCCAACTACTTTCCGCCATATTTTTTAACTGTCATCTGTCACCTTGTACTCATTGACAGACTAGTAATTTCTTCTTTTACAGGAATCTGGCAGTAGTCATATATCGCCATCTATATTTGTATTTTTCAATACATTGATATAAAAAGAAGAAAATAATTCTCTACTACTAGCGCTGTCTATTGGCAAATAAACGAAATAATGGCATAATGTGATAAGTAGGGGAATTTATAAAATCGATACTAATGAAACTATCGATATTAGTTGTATTCCTTTCAAAAGTTTAGAACACTAGAGCTACTCGCTCCGGTGTTAGTTGGAAATGAATAAATGCGCTGGCTTTCGAGCATTTAAATGGTTTGATTCGGACTCAGAGCTGCTTTCCAGTATGCACAATAGTTGTATTCCTTTCAAGAGTTTGAAGCACTCGAGCTACTCGCATCGGTGTTCAGTCGACCCCGATTTGCAGGGAACAGATGCGTGGTGCAGCAAACACTTTTCGAAAGGAATAAGCGCGTGAAGCCCCGGAGCTGTTCCGGAGCTCCTCCTAGGTGTGAAAGGAATACAACTATTGGCGCGCTCTAGAGCACCCTGAGAACGCCACGCATTAGATTTGTACCTTTCCAGTATCACGACGTGTGACGTTTGTCCGTACGTATAGCTCGGGAGCTAAACGCTCCGAGTGTCACACTTCCATACTGGAAAACGGCTAAGGTGCAACAAATACTTTTCGAAAGGAATAAGCGCGTATCGCCTCGGACCTGTTCCAGTAGAGCACCTCCTAGGAGTGAAAGAAATACAAATTTTAGAGAGTTCTCGTGCCTCAGACGCTACGCTAATACGGTACCGCTGACAATACGGTATTTTACATGGTATTTTATAGTTCTCGGACACGAAGACACAAAAATCCTCTTATCCCTTATTCTGTTTACATTTTGACAGCTGAGTTGAGTGATCTAACCCAACTTTTTTATGCTTGTTATCTAACTTTTATTTATCCTGAAGATTCCTGCGCTTGATTAATTTTCCCCTGGTCTTTTATCGAGCAATTATTAGAAGTTGCTGTTTTTGCAGACATAAATGGAGCGGAAACTAATTTTGACATAGAATAGCGTTACGGTAAGGCATACGCTAAGTCGCGTTAGATAGCGGGCTCCGTTAACGCTAATACCGTAAGAACTGTCATACTTGTCAAATAGCGTTACGAAATTTGAAATTTTATTATAGGCTTATAAATAATATCAGCTCCTAGCAGATCTTTCTGAATTTGGAGCAGGTAGAGCAAGTACAAATGAACAGCCTAAAAAATAAGGCAATAGTAAACCTTTTCGGAAACACTGATCGGATCAACCCTATCACCGATGCTATCAGCCGCTTTCCAGTATGCACATTAGTTGTATTCTTTTCAAGAGTTTGGAACACTCGAGCTACTCGCTCCGGTTTTATTCGACCCCGATTTTAAAGGGAGAGATGCAGGGTGCAACAAACACTTTTCGAAAGGAATAAGCGCGTAACGCCCCGGAGCTGTTCCGGAGTACCTCCTAGGTGTGAAAGAAATACAACTATTGGCGCGCGCTAGAGCACCTCAGGAGTGCCACGCACTAAATTTGTACCATTTCAGTAGTTGTATTCCTTTCGAGCTCCTCGCTGCGGGGTTCGCCCCGATTTTGTTAGGAACAGATGCGTGGCGCATCAAACACTTTTCGAAAGGAATAAGCGCGTGAAGCCCCGGAGCTGTTCCGGAGCTTCTCCTAGGTGTGAAAGGAATACTACTTATATCATGGTGTGAGACGCCTGTCAAGCCTAGTAGTCATAACTGCGAAATTCGCACTTTTTTGACATTACTCTGACAATTTGACGTTTTATTCGTGTATCAAACGTCAAATTGTCGAAGCATTGTCAAAAAAAAAGCGAATTTCGCAGTTATGAGTATTAGGCTTTAAGCTGGATTTTCATGCATCCGTTTTTCCGAAGAAAGATGTCCGAAAAACATTCTATTCTGACATAATCGTATAAAAATATGTCAAAATAGAAGATTTCGGACATATTTCGTCGGAAAACGGATGCATGAAAAGTAAGCCTTAAGTCTAGTACTCATAACTGCAAAATTCGCATTATTTTGACATTGCTTCGACAATTTGACGTTTTATGCGTATATCAAACGTCAAATTGTCGAAGCAATGTCAAAAAAATGCGAATTTCGCAGTTACGAGTACTAGGCTTTAGTGTCAAATATGTCAAAATTTAAAAATAATTGTTTGTTTGTGCGGTTTGTTTTTTATTTATCAAAAATGGAAGAGAATCAAAACTATTTATATTTTTTGGAATGTTCGATCCCGAGAAGAAATAAAATGAATACCTTCGGATGTGACAGTTGACAGGTTGACGCGTACGTACAGCTTGGGACCTCAACGCTCCGAGTAGCTCCCATACTGGGAAGCAGCTATCGAATCCATATTTATATATATATATTTAGCCCATATTTTATAGAAATATTGTAGGGCATACAGAACCGGAATATAAATTAATCGGTTCTTACCGTTATTTTTCGACTCAAACATTTTAAAAATTAAGCTGTTGGCTGTTTGGTCGTATCCTGATAAATTTAAAATTCAACACTCTAACATCCCAATGCACCCTCTATCTTGCTCCTTCAGGGCGTGATGGTGAAATTCCGCACCCTTTAAGAAAGCGCGCATTTCTGAACTCGGCTAGGCTACACCAAGGATATTACACCCTACACAGGATTGCTCATCGGTCTCGATCTTTGGAATTAAGTTCATATGGTGTTGCACCGTTGTCGACGTCATCAACGGTCTCGTTAGCGGTTTGTACCAGCAGTCGTGGTTAAGACTATACATTTATGATGAAAAATATAATTTAATTTTGATTAACATTATAGGCAAAAGGAAGATGCAAACAAGATCTAAACAATTATGGTGTTTCCATTGACTATTTCAACCCGGTTTTGAACCGTCGAAAAACTGGACGCGAGAACACGGCTCAGTTTTGAAAAATGTTCCAAAACTTTGAGATGCGAGAACACAATCTGTGATGCAAGCACCTTACGTCAAAACGACACGCTGTCTACGTCATCACTAATCGAAAACACAAACATTTTTTATTGTTAATAATGAATATAACCGAATTTTCGCGATGAATGTGTCTCATCCAAGGACGAACCTAAGTCGTTTTCTCGCGTCCACTTTTTTGAAACTGGTTCAAAAAACTGTTTTGAGACAGTACATTCTCGCGATAAACCCATGACGTCACGTCAAAATTGGTTCAATCCGTTTCGAAATACAATTCAATCCACGTTTTCAAACCATTTTCTCGCGCCGACAAATTATGACGTCATGGTGATATTATTTGAACCAGTGTTGAAAAATGTTTTGAAACATTTGAAACGCGAGAAAACGCCTCTAGTTTGTTTGTGACGTCATGAGTTTGAACGCTGGCTAGAAGCTACGTCCATGCTTACGTCAAACTAGATTCAATATGACGTAATGAGTTTCTCATCGCGAAAGCGTTTGTGTCATGGAAGTAGTTCGTCGCGGAAATTCGGTTTATGATAAAGTTAGATAGGCAGATAAATCCAATAAAAAATAAAACAAAAATTACAGAAACATAAATTTTTCTGTTATTGCCGTATTCCGTAAACTGACATTTCTCCATGGAAAACTGTCAGTTTAGGGAATACTTATCGTTAAGGGTGGATTTTCATGCATCCGTTTGTCCGACGAAAGATGTCCGTTTAACATTCTATTCTGACATAATCGTATAAAAATATGTCAAAATAGAAGATTTTTCGGACATATTTCGTCGGACAAACGGATGCATGAAAATCCACCCTAAAGCCTAGTACTCATAACTGCGAAATTCGCATTTTTTTGACATTGCTTCGACAATTTGACGTTTGATACACGCATTAAACGTCAAATTGTCAACGCAATGTCAAAAAAATGCGAATTTCGCAGTTATGAGTACTAAGCTTAAGGCTTCCCTAAAATAGTTGGTGGGAACGGGGATTAAATGGTCGGTGCAAATGGCCATTCGATATTTGTGAAAAACTTATATGAATCGTTAAAACCGAAATTATTGGTCCCAATCGAATCGAAATATTTTTCTTAGAACCGGAACGGAACCGATATTTGTCATGACGCTATGGACCGGAACCGGAACGGAACCGATATTTCATTTCAATTCGGGTCTCTGATCAGAGTGCCCGAAATTTTAACAAACGAACGCAAATGAGCCTGCACCGAGTACACTTTTTAAATAAAGGAACGGTAAATTCAAGCTCGGAGAACTGATATTAACGACCGCATTGTTTGTCGAGTGAATGCCTGAATGGAGCTTACTCCAAAATTTTTATTTCAAAGAAAGATATCCTAGAGAGTAATAAATAAACATATTCACCTAAAAGCACATGACGGGAAAATGCTCCATTGTATTGTTCTACTCTACTCTACTCCAAAATCTGCTCTGACTCAATTTCATCTTTCTGTAGAATAACTAGGCACAAGGACTATAAAAAAAAGGATGGCCTAGTTATCTTTGACGTGCGTATGTCAAATGGCAGATACCCAGTTTGTGTGATGTCACCACTGATGCTAGAAGATTTGTTTTTGTTTACATTTTTGTTTTAAGCGTATAACGATTTTAATTCTATCATTTTTATCCTTTATATTATATATTTATATGTACAATTTGAATTTATATATTTTCGTTTTCGCGGACCATCATCATGGTTGGTCGAGTATGTGCCGTTTTCTCTTGTAGAAACAATCAAATGATTCTCAAGAAAAGCGGCTCAAATATAACTTTCCACTACTTTCCAAGTGGAAAAGATCCAGTCTCTGCGGCTACTCGTGACGAATGGATAAAAAGTTGCAAAAGGAAAGCGGCGTTCAATGTAAATACTTCAACAATTTGCTCGGAGCATTTCACCAGCGACGATTACGAGAGGGATTTGCAGCATGAATTGCTAAGTAAATATAATGCAGATTATAATTTCCATGTAGTACCAAGCCGCTGAACGACATATTATTTTCTTTTTTTTTAATCCTCTATTGTCAGTTGGAACTGACACTTTAGGTATAATTTTCACTTAGAACTGACAATGAGGTATCATTATTTGTCACTTAGAACTGACAATTAGGTATAATTATTGTCACTTGGAACCAATGAACCTTGGAACTTACAATTAGAGACAAAGACAATTATACCTAGTTGTCATTTCTAATAGGTACCTAGTAACAATTATTCCTAATTTTCAAGTTCCAGCAGACAATTATACAGGGCTAAATATCTAATGTAACTTTTATTTTATTTTTTTAAATCGCTCGTTCACATTATTTGATTGTGTGAGTATTTGAAACATTTTCAGCACTTAACCCTCTAGGAGGGGTGAGGAATGGGACCAACCCTCACCATTCCAAATGGAATAAGGGGTCGAGTGATACCAAATGAAAGAGAATTGAACGCTCTTTTAAAAGAGGTATCACTCGACCCCTTGTTTCATTTGAAATAGTAAGGGTTGGTCCCTCCCCGCCTAAAGGATTAAAGTTGAAATGCTAAAAATGGTTCCAGAAAACTTCCCCCTTTGAAAATCAAATTATGTGTACGAGCGATTTTTTTGAAAATTAACGTGGTATTAGATATTTAGCCTGTTTTTGACCGTCCAGCGCTTTCATACAGGGTGTTTCCTTATATTTTGACCCCTACCTACAGCTTTAGCAATACGAGGTGGAAGAAAACTTTAAATATGGAAGTTGTAGGATTTTATGTCTGTTATCTTTCGCGAATGTCAAAATGGGCAAAAGACAGGTGCCAACTGTCACAATTACAAACACTTGCATTTTTTACACCCTGTATACTTTTGGCTAGGATGATAGATTTTTTCTTCTGATTCCAAATATATCATATATGTTGATATTTGGTTCAGCTGTTTTTATGCTATACAAGTTTAAAAATACATTTACCTACATTGCCCTTAATTTAATCTGACCTGGTTCCTTATATACAGGGTGGCCCATCGAAAACAGTCCAGCAAGATTTTGGGCTTTGTATGTGAAAATTTAAAAAAATCCTCGGACCTGTATAATTTTGTTTTCAGGGGGACATATTTACACATTGAGTACATCACAGTAACTTCAACCCCTTAGCGGGGGTGGCATTCACCCTTATTTTTTCAAATGGGAAGGGGTATGTTGTGATACATGTTTTGAGAGGGCATTAAATTTTCTTTAAAATGGCGCTTCGTTTTTGAAATTTGTGATATGGGTTGCCGAGAAATTTAATCAAATTAATATTGTTTAGTACTTACATGTTATCTTATTAACTGTTCAAAATGTCCGCCGTTCACCTCCATACAATAGTACAGCAACTGTTCAAAGTGTGCTCGGACATTGTGAAGAATATCATGTGTAATTAGTCGACATTCATTGGTAATGCGGTTCCGTAAATCTTCTAAGGATTCAGGCTGGGTGGCGTAAATTTTCGATTTCGGATGTGCCCACAAAAAGTAATCAAGGGGAGATAAATCGGGTGATCGCGCGGGCCATTCGATAGCACACCTTCTTCCAATCCATCCAGGAAAGTTTTCGTTCAAAAACTCCCGTACAGCTAATGCATAATGGGGAGGAGCCCCATCTTGCTGAAATATCGGATTAACTTTATGATAACGTTGGTCCTTTTCCATAATTTCCATCAGTGCTGGGTTGACGGCATGCTCCAGCAAGTCTAAGTAAGTATCTCCATCCAAATTTCCGTGTATGAAATATGGCCCAATAATGTGATCACCAAAAATACCAGCCCAAACGTTTAATTTATGAGGATGTTGAGTATGAGCCTCATGGTAAAGCCTTGGATTCGTGTCGGACCAATAACGACAGATGTCGATTAACAGTGCCATTGAGAAAAAATGAATATTCGTCTGAGAAGCAAACATTAAAAAGGTAGTTGGGAGTATGTGTAATTATTTCGGACATTATTTCACAAAATTGTAAACGACGTTCATTATCATCTTCATTCAATTCGTGAAGAAGTTGAATTTTATATGGGTACCATTTATTATGTTTCAGAATTCTCTGTACAGTGGTCCGAGATACACCTGTTACATCAGGTGTACTCAATCTAGGGTCCATAGTAACTTGACCCAGAACAGCTACTTCTACTGCCTCATTTCTCACCGGATTTTCAATATCCCGTTTTCTGTTTGTCACTGAACCAGTTTGCCGGAATTTTGCTACTAGTTCGAGGACGTAACCATGATGAACTTTTCTTTCTGCATGCCTCTCATTGAACAAAGTTGCCGTTACTCTTGCACATTGATTGTTAATAAAATACAATTCAATAATTTCCACTCTCTCCGCAATAGAATAAACTATTTTTTATCGAATGTACACCAAAGAAAATCAGAGAAATATTGAACTATCCACATCAACTACTTCACCGAAGATAAAGTTGAATTGTCAACTGATATTTTCTAGTTTAAAAACGATTTTTTGTTCACGAACCTATTTGTAAACGTTGATTGAGGCGCCATTTTAAAGAAAATTTGATGCCCTCTCAAAAGATGTATCACAACATACCCCTTCCCATTTGAAAAAATAAGGGTGAATGCCATCCCCGCTAAGGGGTTGAAGTTACTGTGATGTAATCAATGTGTAAATATGTCCCCCTGAAAACAAAATTATACGGGTCCGAGGATTTTTTTAAATTTTCACATACAAAGCCCAAAACCTTGCTGGACTGTTTTCGATGGGCCACCCTGTATATTAATGATGAGGCTAGCTGAATGTAATTTTAAAATTAAATAGCGCAAAAACAACTGATCCAAATATTAACATATTATGGTATATTTGGAATAAGAAGAAAAAAAGCTATCATTTTAGGCAAAAATATACAGGGTGTTCTATTTGAAAAATGCAAGTGTTTGTCATTGTGACAGTTGGGACCTGTCATTCGCCCTTTTTGACATTCGCAAAACATAATAGACATCAAACCCTACAACTTTCATATTTAAAGTCGAGTTTAAAGTTATTTTCCACCTTGTATAGCTAAAGCTGTAGGTAGGGGTCAAAATATAAGGAAACAGTGTGTACCCACAATAGAACGATTTACAAACTGCAATTTGTGTATTTAATTTAACACTTGTTAATTTTTAATTTTTTTTTTTTTTCAGATTTGCCTCCACGCAAATTTTTGAAAAAGACGGCAGTTCCTACGCTAAAATTGGCAGGTGATGAAATGACAGCAGAACAGATAGAGAAATATGTAATGGGATTGAAAAAGGACAAGGAAATTTCGGATCCATTGCATAAGCTTCCAACTAAAGCATCAAAATCGAATCGAATTAAATCGAAAACGCTCTCTCTATTGTCTCAAAGTCCTAAGAAAAAACGAATTGTAACAAAACAGGCAAATACAGAAACTTGAATGAAAAACCAATTTAAATTATTTACTCCTTTTTTTTTATTTGTTGATTCTTTCCATATACTTATTTATACCTTTGTGACCTTGTATAAATTAAAAACCGTCATAAGGCGGTACAGCGTACTTGTACAACTCGTTCCACAAAGTGTACATTTCCCACCTTGGATTCGTTTTGACCGATAAATTTTCATTAATATCCAAATATTCTAAAGTCTCATCTGAATAGTCAACTTTTGGCCACGCTAAGTTCTGGAATAGTTCGTCAACTTCTGGAGTGGGGTTCCTATAAAAAATATTAATTCAATACATAGGATTCAGGAAACAACGAAAGAAAGTTCCCAATTCCAAGTAGGTATGAAGAAATCAGGAAATTACTAAATTACTTAAAATATTGAAAAGTTTTCTAAGTTCAAATTAAAATAGTATATAACTAGATTCCCTCTACTCTCAAATAATAAGCACACATTTGACATCGCGATTTTTCTGAGCCTGAAGATGAACCCATAAATTAGGTACCAGAAAGACATTAAAAACAATGCTAAAGTAATTAAATTGTGGGGACCAAGTGACAGATTAATCTAAAAAACATTATTTATGGTCGATACGAGTTTCGGCATCCTTTGATAGATGCGGACTCACATTTTTAGGACATCCGTTGACCTCAGTAATGAAAAAAATGTGACATCTTTGGTCAAACAAATAATCATATCGTTTAGAAATAGCGGGAGAGGAAAGTAGGTCAACGTATATCGAAATCACGAGGATTCATTATGATCGAATGATGGGTGAACTGAAACTATTTAGGCAAATTAGAATGAAATAAGAAGGATGGTATAGAATCTATATCGTGAAAAGTGAAGAAGTCTCAAAAAGTATTATCAGTTGACGGTCGTGAATCAAGAAGGTTAATAAACTAAATTATGTGCGTGGTCTAAGTAATCAAAAGATATATTTTATCAAAATAATTTAGTGAAAATAAGGAAAAATTGTAAAAACCCACATCTAGGAAATTGAGTCTTAAGTATTTAACCGTTTATTGCAATGACTATGATGCAAAGTGAAATGACTATGGAACATTATTGCAATTTGATTGACTTTGAGCGAAAGAACTATTAAATATTTTTGCTAAACGTATAGTTAGGGAAATATAAAATACATGACTATTGCCAATTATTATTAAATATAAATTTCCTGAAGAGATTTGAAATGAAACTGACTGACAAACTGCTACAAATACTTACAAATGTGTTGCAAAATTAACCCATAATTTAATGAGCCTATAATGAGTTAATCTATCAGATTCTGGAAACAGTTCCAAATCCGTATTTTCTCCAATGGACTTTATGGTTCTTGGATAAAAATAATTTAGTTCTTCGTTATGGGTTACACTACCAGTACCTTGAAAAAATCATCCATATAGAATTACTTGTTAGTAGGAACTTATTTCAGATATAAATTATTAGTTTTAATTTCAATATAGTAAATTTCCTAAAGTAATCGTTATACCTTCAACTTTTCCAGCAAAATTTCCCATTACACCATCATAGCTCATTACATAAAAATAAACATCGGTAAATTTTGATTGGAGCTCTGCCTGTTTAATAATGGACCTCGCAAAGCATTGGTCAGTTAAATACTAGAAAAATACAATTTTAATTGTAAAAAACATTATATCCCTATTTGTTTACCCGGATAGCTCCTGGAAGTTGTTCCCTGAAGGTTCTATTTCCAGATATATTGTAAAAATTTTGTATAGATTCAATTACAGCATTTTTGCTTTCAGGTTTTTGCAAATGCATATTTATTGGCAGCAATAGGGTTTGATTATTGTCAAATGCATCAGTAACATCTTTGAATTTAGCTAAAAATAATCATATTTATTGTATAGCAAATATAATAATGAAAATTGCTCACAGTTATATTGTCCAATGCATTCTTCATTATTCATCCCAATGATAGTTGGTACTTTGTTAATTTCGCCATTTTTCATGCTTTCAAAAATGCTTTTGGTTAGGAAGGCGTCGTCGTGCTCTGGCTCGTAAACTGGAGCATAATGAAATCCGTGCTGTAATTGTTTATCGCCTGGTCGTTCCTATGATTTATCAATGTTTAATGATTCAGTACTATGAATTTATACAATAAGTACCAAATTATAAATTTTTCTTGAAGCTGCATTTATATCGCTGGCACTGGCATTGAGCATGAACTGAAGCAAATCCTCTGAACTGTTGCTTGTGAAATTTCCATTTATCAGATTGGCAGTTTTGAAAGTATAGTCCCTTTGATATGGCTGGTAGGCCCACGCGCTCAATGCTGATCCGCTTTCCAAAATTGCACCACGAAACAGGCCTGTAATAGTCAGGTGAGAATACGTTACTTGCATCATTTTTTTTTAATCGTTGATTTCGTTAGGCTATAAAAAATAAGTCAACACGTGTTTTTTCTTTTTCTTCTTAGTCAAAAATTAACAGATTTACAACACTATGAAATATGCCTATGACGTCACTTATCATATAACTTTATGATGTTGCACATACTAGTATATCCATATACACAAAACTTAATATTTGTATAACTTCCGGAATAATCGTATTAGGACAAAAACAAAAAAACACGAATTATATTTTCCGTTCAGTAAATCTTGTTTTAAAAAACTATTTATTTTATTAAAAACTAAGAAGTTACAACAAAAAATACTAGACTCTAATTGCTGCGGCGAAAAGCCGATAACAAAAGAATCTTGATTCTAAATTGCTATAGTCTAAGCAAGCTATAATACAAATGAATGTCTGAGAAGCTCTGCGCGCCGTATTTATATTAAAAAACTGCTGACAGAGCATCGGTCTGGGTGAAACCTTGATATGACGGTACTGTCCAGGCTGATTATCCCTTAGTCTTAGTCAGCAGTTTTATAATATGTGGTCTTTTACAGTGGCGTATGCTTATTTTTAACATTGGAAAGGAGAATTATTAGTATAATAATAACATAGGGTTTTAGAATATAACTCCTCCCTCCTTAAGTGGTTGCAAATTGAGATTGACTAACAATGTTGGGCAATTCAATCTACATCTCAGTTTTAGTTCTACTATATTTTCCTTTAAAATATAGAATAAGAATAATTGTTATAAAAATAGAACTTAATACTATGATTATAATATAGGTTGACACGTTATTGGTATTAAAATTTAACACTTTTAATGGGTCAGTCTTCAATTTGTTTGCTTCTTTAATCGCTGATTGAAGAGCTTCATGGTCAACTGCTTTTAGTCTTACAATTGTAGTATTCTCTAGAAGTTCTGGAATGTCGATGATGGGTAGTTCTAGTTCTATGCTGAAGTTCTCATGCATGTCTTTCAAAAATGTTCGATTGTTAATTGTTTCTAAATATTAACCTTTGGAAATTACGATTGGACTGAAAATGATTTCCATTTATTCCTTCTGGTCACATTGCAGCATTGCTGTCACAGTCGTTTTGGAATAACCAATACTTGATTATTGGGTATTTCTTCAACTGTCGATTCTTCATATTGAATTTTCGTGAATGGGCTGTTGTTCACTAGATACAATGTCGTGAACATAGGGCTCATCTTATTTCAATAGTTCCATTTTGCACAAATAAATGTCTTCAATATTTGGACATTTTTGTAGAACATTGTAATACGTGTCTGTGGTAAGTAAAAGGTAAGGATACTTAACACTAATTGTATAGTTTCGGATGGGTATAGGAAATAGTTTATACAATATAAAAAGTTTAGGATTAATTTTTGGTGTAAATTTAGTGAAAATAATTAGTTCTTTTTGAATCATTACATGAGAGGACCTTATCTCATAGTATTTAATTACGTTGTCAAACGGTATTTGTTGAGTTGTGGGTATATTTTTTAAGATCAAGTTCAATTCATTATGCTACAGTATGGTAAAATGCATTAGGCATGCGCGTGCAAAACTGTTTATAAATTCCACCAGGGAATTGCCTCTTGTACAAACCATTCGACTACATTTCGTACACGAAATTTGACTGCTCCCCATTTAATTTACATTGCTGTCAGTCAAATTTCGTGTAGGAAATGTACTCGAATGGTTTCGAAAATCGCACCCCTGGTTGGTCACAAGACATTGAGAGAATGATACTAAACTGCAATCTATGCCAATCCTATGAAAAATCCAATCCAAGAGAGCCCCTCACATCATATGAGGTCCCTGCCTTGGCAAATAATAGGCATAGATTTCAAAGCCCTGGGATCTCAAGATTTCTTAGTGATAATAGACTACCTACTTTAGCAAGTTCATTATAGTAAATAAACTTCATAGCAAAACTTGCAGTGCAGTATAGTGTCTGCTCTCAAGAATGTTTTTTCAATCAATGGTCTGCCACAAGAAATATTCTCATACAATGGTCCACCATTCAGCTCACATGAGTTTAGTGTTTTTGCAAAACTATATGACATTAAGCTAACTACTTCAAGTCCAAATTACCCTACATCAAATGGAATGGTGGAACGGGCAGTTCAGACTGTGAAGGGTCTTCTCACTAAATCCTTACGAGATGGGGAGGACCCATTTGCTGCAGTCCTGAACTACAATGTTACTCCCAAACAAGGCTTACCATCTTCTTGTCAACTTCTTATGGGTAGGAGACTACGAACCAGCGTGCCAGTAAGTCAAAGTCTCCTGAACCTACAATTTTCGACTCAACATGCTAAAGAAGTTTTAAAGTCTAATCAAGAAAAACAAAAGCAATACTATGATGTGTCAACTAGAAAATTTAATGAACTGAAACCTAGACAAGAAATTTTAGTTCAAAGACGAGTACGTGATTGGGAGCCAGGTGAGGTTTTATCTAAATCCGGGCCAAATGATTATTTAATTCGAGTCGATTGGAAGCCAACAACTGAAACCAAAAAGATCAATGCAAGAATCAAAGGTAAAAATGGAGAATTTCACTCCGCCAGAAAATGTTCAACATAATCATGAGTCGCTTCCTTGTGACCCGAATCCTGCAGAAAACGAATTTGAAGACTCATCACTATTTTCAGGAAATGATGTGAAGACTAGAAGTGGTTGAATCATTAAAAAACCAAAACTGTTTGATTCATGAAATAATTTAATATTTAATATAGTTTCAGCATTTCACGTTTCTTATATTTAGTTCTAAGGGTTATTTTTTGATTTTCTTCAAATCTTATGATTATAATGTTATGTTTCTTTATTTGTTAAAAGGGGCGTGTTACGTATGTTCGGTATTAGAAGTGGCAACACCGCCAACCTTCGACAGCCCAGGGTATGAGAACATGTCGAGCGGTTTTGTCATGTCCTATGATGCTCTGTTAATGTTAATACACTGTTTTTGTGCTTATGTAATAATAAACCATTCACTAAACCACTGTGAATCCTTGGTTAGTTGTTTTGGGACCATTACAGCAAGAAACATTACAGATATAATCAAATTTTCTCTTAAGGTAGAATGTAATCTCTCAATAGGACTATTCGAATTAGGGTTTCGAGGTGTCGTATAATGAAATTCGATTTTATGTAAAGTACATAAATCTGTTACAATTGCATTTTTTAATTCAGTTCCGTTATCAGAAGTAATTCTTTGTGGAATTCCATGGTCACTGAAATATCTTATTAATTGTGATGCAATCTCAACTGAAGTTTTGCTAATAATTGGAATAGCTTGTGCAAACTTCGAAAAGCTGTCAATAATTTTTTGATTTGAAATAACGTATGTATCAATATACAAAGGTGTTCAAATGTTTTTGTTTTTTATTTTATCTAAAATTTTAAACTTTATGACCAATGTGATATTAATTAGATATAGATTTGTGACTAAAATAAATGGATGAAATTTGACTGCTAACAATTTTTAAAATTAATGTATTATTTGTATTTCTGATTTGTTAAGTAAGTACATGTAAGTTTTTCTAATTTAATTTAAGCTAGTTATATTTTTTAGATAACGTAGGATTTTTGAATTGAATGTTGAATGTTGGACTGATGTGTGTGTGTTTTATATTTTTTTATATTTAATCTTTATATTTGATTTTTATGTCCACTTAATGGATTTTTTTAATTTTTTTATTGTGACATATTTAAGAAGTTTTATCAATAAGGATCAATGTAATCTTTGACAATAAAGCATGTTTACTACTACTACTAAGCCTACTTGTCCTGATAAGTAGTAAAAAAATATATTTTTTTACTACTAACCTGAGAAATTGTCATTATTCAATCTATTTTTCTAGGAAAAAATTGAATTTCTCTCCCTAGGTGAATAATGAAAATAATGAAAAAATACCTAGGTTAATAATGAAAATGACGTCATGACGCAAGGATATTTTCATGTTTCTATTGGTTCAATTTCATTTTCATACGTCAATTTGAAAAAAAATACAGGTTTCTGTAGGTACATAGGAAGTTATCATAAGCTGTTGATAGAGGGCAGCACTTTCAAGAGGGCGTTCAAAAAAAAATAATTGGAGCACAGATTTTAAGCAAATTTCTCATTTTCTACTAGCAGTAGTAAAAAAAATTCTATATATTCCTCGGTAGAGGAAGTCATTATATACCTCACTCATTATAAACCTCGGCGCGAGCGCCTCGGTTTATAAAAGCGCTCGGTATATAAGGACCAACTTCTCTACCTAGGTATATAATATACTATTATAGCTTCGATTTTCTCCGGGTTTGGTTTGATACCATTTGAATTATGATATGTCCCAAGAATTCTACTGTTTTTTTTTGAAAATTCTGATTTGTCTAATCGGATTTTTAGATTAAATTGTTCTAATCTTTCAAATATCTTTTTAAGACTTGCAATATGTTCTTGAAGAGAAGTGGAAAATATAAATAATAATATCCATGTAAGCTAGACATATCGGGTCTTCAAAAAAAAAAAACAATCAAAGATTGCTTTGGTTACGAAAACGTACGTCGCATTATTGTTTCTTTATTGGTCAGCATTTTTGACATGACATTTTGACATTAAATTTCATTGACAGACATTGTCAAAATTAAAGAAAAATATTGCTAAGACATACGTTTAAAAAATCATAGCAATCTTTGATTGGTTTTTTTTTGAAGACCCGATATTTTGTTTTGGAAACCTATTAGTACGTTGTCCATAACTTTTTGAAATGTTGCTGGGGCATTTTTTAATCCCAAGGGCATACGGTTAAATTCATAATGTCCATTTTCTACAATAAAAGCTGTTTTACTTATTGAGTTTGGATTCATTTCAACTTGGTGGAATCCAGAAGCTAAGTCTAGAGTAGTAAAATAATTACTTCTTCCAAGTCTGTCAGGAATGTCTGTTATGTTTGGTAATGGGTATCGATCGTCTATCGTTTTTTCATTGATTTTTCTATAATCTACGACCATTCGCCATTTCTTTATGCCTGAAGTATCTAGCTTTTTAGGTACAATCTGGGGCCTTATTCTGTAAGAAACGAAACGTTCGATTCGGTAGAATTTCTTCGATTGTGACGTCATTTTCAGTTTGGTAACGCGAAAACCAAACCAAAAATGACGTCACAATCGAAGAAATTCTACCGCATCGAACGGTTCGTTCTTACAGAATAAGGCCCCAGACAGGGGATGACCACGGTTTACATAATGGTCGAATAATGTTGTCTTCTAACATTTTCTGCATTTGTTTATTTACTTCTTATTTATGAATATTTGGATATCTATACGTCTTTTTGTGAACTGGAATTTCGTCTTTGGTCTTAATTTCGTGTTTAACCTGATTATACAGGGTGGTCCATTTAACTTCAGACAGTCTAATATCTCGAAAACGGTGCGTTTTTGAAAAAAAAAGTTTAAACAAAAGTTACATGGTATCATGGGGGAAACAAAATAGCGGCACTGATTTTTGACATTGACAACGTTTTCAAGGTTATTTCAAGGTCAACTCTTTTTTTTCCAATGGAAACGTTTTTTTTTTATTACAGAATCTTATTCTACGGAAAAAAACAAGTAACTTTTACTTGAAGCATTTTTCGATCCGGTTTCAATTTAAGCTGATAAAAAAAAACGAATCGATTTTTTTAATTTTCTTCCTCACAAAATCTAAAAGTAGAGAAAGGTTATAGTCCAACAAGTACCATTTTAAAGTCACGTGATTTTTCTCTATCCTTGTTAAATACATCTCAAACAGAGGTGATAGCAAAATTGACAAAAAAATTGGTGTCTAATTATTGTTCATAATATTCTTATCTGAAATAGAATCCGTCACTGTCATCAATTAGTTTGTCAAAGTTATTTTGGAAAATGATACAACGACCAAACACAGCTAATAATTTTTACTATATTAACCTTTTTCCAACTCGAAAAGAAGCAAATAGAAATCGGGTACCCAATTCAAGTTCAGAATGTATTACAATGGACAGCAGATGCGACAAAAGTGAGTCTCACAATAATTGCAAGTATTAAAATTCCCATCTGATTGGTCAATACTACTTCAGAAACGCGTTTGTAAAATGCTATTGGGAACATATCTTAAAATTCAATAGTAATTAACCACTAGTAGCTTTTTGTAGGTGATATCAACGACATAATCAATGGACATACGTTTTTTGCCACCAATATCACGTGACTTTAAAATGGTATTTGTCGGACTATACCATAGTAACAAACTACTTTAAAAACTATAACCATTGTTCAAAGCGGTGTCCGCCAACTTCAACACACTTGTTAATTCGCTGTAAAAAGCTTCCATGGCACCAAATAAGAGTTTCTTTACTGACAGCTCTAAACATTTTTTATGCGTTCCATCATATTTCCGGTGTTGTGGGAACCTCTTGATAAACTGTCTGTTTGATTTTTAAAGTGAACTGACAAGTGTGTATTTATAATAAAATATCGCTGATGGTGTAACTGAATAGGCGAAACCTTGATATGACGGTACTTTTCCAGGCTGATTATTCCTTAGTCATCATCATAATATGTGGGCTTTTACAGAGAAGTACGCTTATATTTAACATTGAAAAGGAGTATTATGTATATAATAATAACATTAATAACATAGGGATTTATAATATAACTTCTATATACACAAAACTTAATATTTGTATAACTTCCGGAATAATCGTACTAGGACAAAAACAAAAAAAACACGCATCGATTTTTTTTGATTTCCTACAATCTGCAATAAACAATAATCAATTTAATTTTTCATGCAAGTAACCTATTGATAATTTTTTTCGTTCGTTCACTTTAAACCGTTAATTTTATATAAAAAACCCGTTTATTTGGGAGTAAATTCTCACCTGACGATTTCGGACTGAGCAAATGATAAGAAACCGAGCCAGCTCCAGCGCTTTGTCCAAAAATTGTAACTTTACTCGGATCTCCACCGAAATATTTTATGTTTTGTTGTATCCATTTCAAAGCCAAAGTTTGATCTTTCAAGCCAGCGTTTCCAGGAATTACCAAATCATTTGTAGAAGAAAATCCTACAGCAAGTAAATTCTAATGTTATTTTGTCTATCTATTGTTTGGATAATATGGATTTACCAAATGGTCCTAATCTATAATTAAGTGTTACAAGTACAACGTCGTGTTCCATGAAAAAATCCGGACCATAATTGCCAGTTCTGCCGCTGAAGCCAATCACGAAACCACCACCGTGGATGAAAACCATTACTGGCAACAGGTTATCGGAAATCTAATAGGTAATTTTAGAAAAAAAATATAATGGATATACATATTATATTAGCATTGGTGCAAGCTTTTCGTTTTTCAAAAAAAAAAAAAATAATAATAATAATAATAAAAGTTTTATCAAAAATTGAGTTCAAAGTCATCGTCCAATAGTTTTAATCCGTTACAAAGTTGTATAGATATAAACTATTTTTCCACTTGAATAAAGATAACCATGACGAACAAAATTATGTTCGATAGTTAATTTTAATCTTACTTCTTTGGTGTAAATATTTAAAAATAAGCAATCTTCGTTTTGCAAGTGTGTAGCACTACCAGCAGCTTGGTAACAGATATTTTTCTCGTATGTTGCATCGTATGTATCCGTCCATGGTTCTACCGGAACCGGAGACTAGAAATTATATATTTTTATAAATAAAAATATATTTTATTAACTACCTACTTTAAATCTGAGCTCGCCTATTGGAGGTTGGGCATATCTAACACCACTAAACGAATAAAACGTGTGATTAGTTTTGGTAATTTCTGTTTTCCCCAATAGTTTTCCATTTGGTATTGTCACTGTTACTTTTTGAGCAAACTATGCAAGAGGAAGATTTCAAATATATAAGTGAAAAATTATTATTTTCATATTATTAGCTTACCAAATTGTTAATATTTAAAATAATGCAATAAATGCTAAACAAATTATGTACGTTTTTAGATCTCATGATGGCAACTACTGGGCCACAAAGTAGGTAGGTACTTAATGATTTCTCTAGTTTCGATTAGTTTAAAGTGGTCGGTACGTGCTTCAATAAATTGTTGTTTGGACTGATTATTTATTTTCTATTTGAGATCGTGAGATAATTTGTGTTTTACAAAAAAAAAAACAAAAACTTTTTCTATTAGAGATTCAAGATGTAATGTTTCAAAGTTGACAATGTCAAAATCTATCTTGGAAAAAAATAAAGTATAGTTATTTTGTAACTTTGGCTTGTTTGTTTGTATCCATTTTCTCTAATTAAAGAAATAGGTAATATAATATTTAAATCTGTTACACATTTTTTTTTTTTCCAAAATACTCGTTTTCAATTCATTTTAATTAAATTAGCCAAGATTCTTGGTAAGTTTGCAAACTAGCTGCTATTTTAGTGGAAATTGCGTTTTCTATCAAGATAGCTAAGGGGTTGGTTAGAAACTAGCCAAGTTTGTATATTAACCGTTACATACATATTTATTTTCAAATACCAAATGCAAAATGGAAATAATTTCGGCTTTCCAGACCTGAGCACTTTAGTGAATTTCAATTTTTTGTATGATTTTTTTTTCGATTCATGCAAATACTAAGTTACTTCAATTACCCTCGATTTTACCCCGATTTTTTTTCACAATTTCAGCGGTTACGATGGGCACCTTAAAATCAAAATAATTTGTTCTCAATTTTGACTCCAGCAATCGATAGAGGTGATCAAATTTAGTCGGAAAAAAGTTTCAAATAATTTTTCAGACGCTATCTTCACTTGGAAATGATTTTACAGCCTCTTGCTCCAATTCTGTTTCTCTCTTTGCTACACAAAGTTTACTATTTTTACTTGCAATTAAGCGAGTAAAAATAATAATCGCGGTAATTACCGCGATTATCTATGCCTTTTTACTTTGACAGTTCCCATGGCGAACAATGAGTATTTTTCTTTTGTCAGACTCAAAGGGTTGCTATTAGTAACAAAATCGAACATTTATTTGCAACAGAAATTTCAACTCATTGGCATCATACATCATAATATAAGAATTTCATCAGGGTGCAATCCAAATCAACTTGAAGACTTTATTTTATGGTGGCCAGTGCATGAATCTCAATGGGAGGAGAGTGATGATCCACAGGATATAGGTAGGTAGTTGACACGTTCAATGGTCATTTTGCATCAGTATCATATCGGTATAGGTACTCAGAATATGACAAGTCTGAGGGTACTACTTTTGAATCGGCGAGGATGGCGATAGTTGATCTTGGGCAGCTTAAGCTATCTCCACTTGATGTTTTTGACAGAATTTGCAAATTAAAACAGAGTCTCGGTGTTGGGCCAGATTGTTACGTGGCAAAACGGACACTGCCACTTCGTTACCCGCAAAACGCGAGGGAGAAGTAAATAATGAACTTTGAGGGAGTGGGACAGTGAATGGGTAACTAAAACAGAAAAAAAAATATAGAAAGAGAGGGTTGGTTGGTGGCTGAAATCTAGAAACGTGATTTCGTGTAAAGGGTTGCCGACTAGCTTCCAATGCGGAGAGGAGTGTGGGTCAATAAATTAACTAAATATATAGGTACGGGTTTTAATTAGAACCAGAACAAGACAGGTTTGATTCCAGAGCAGCTTCGGAGTGGGTTTTCCGACCGCCCTAGAACACTGAAAATTATTTACACTGGAACCAGAACAAGAAAAGAAATCATCTAGAAGTATCTAACCATATGTTCTTAAAATAGTATTTACAATAATGATTAATTACACTCAACTTGAGTCCCTAAATAAAGAAATAAAAAGTATAACAATTAACAGCAATAATACCTGAAATATAAATTAATAAATAAGCTTACTATAAATGCAGTACCTTCGTAAATGGCCATTTAACCCCAGTGTACAAGTATTTACCTGTATTCAGTGCAGCATGTAATTATGGGATAGTTATTAGAGAAATATAAATCAATAATTAAAGTTGAGGTAACAATAAATAGCCTGAGGGGCAAATTTAATATTATGGAATAATATAGAAGGTATAGATAAATACTAGTAGTACATAACCTGAATGGTAAATTTCATATAACAAAGGTAATAATTAATTGAAACTGAAATAACAATATCTAATCTGAAGGGTAATTTAATATTGTAGTAGAACTGCATTGTTGTGGTGATTTACTCCAACAAGGGGTTGGTAAGGTTTGATATTAAGACAATACAACACACTTATCAAACCTGAGTAGTCTCTAATCTCTTGGGGAAACCTGACGAATGGAATTCATATCTTCCAGTGTTTCCGATGGCCTGGGACTGGATCAAGGCCGCAACAAGAAGCCACTGGCCCTTGGCACTAAAGTTCAGTAACTAGGAGTCACTAAAATTTCCAATGGTCTAGAGGAGGCTGAAGATTGGAGGTACTACTTGAAACACACAGTAAGCTCAACGTTTAACTCTTTACTCAAGTTAAGGACTAAGCGTGACGAACAAAAGGTGACGAATAAAACGTAACGTCTAAAGGTGAAGATTAAAGGCCTGAAACAAATGGACGTTATGAGTCAGGGCGTGGAGCAATAGGTAGGTTTTGTCCGATATTCGGAATTTAACCGTATAATTAACAGAAAACTATGCTTTTACATAGGAAATAGAGAAATACAGAGAAGATTAATAAGAAAAACCACTTACCAAAATTACTTTGGCCTTTAGGAACAAACAATTGGTCACGTTGCTATTTCTCGACTCACAAAAAAAATCCGCACAAGGCGATTGGGTGCTAAAATAACGGATTAGCCACCCTAGATCTATGAGCGAAAACTAGACAACTCAGAAAATCGGCAAAATGTACCTGAGGAGTTTTCCCGAACACTTAATCGTGAAAAGTCCTCGACCTGAATGACCTCTGCTTGTCCCTGCAATGTCCTTTAAAAAGGTTCTGTCAAAACTCCAAGGTGGAAGGTACTGGGGAATTTTGATGGTAGTTGGGGCATGGGACTTATTCAAATTAAGTTAGTACCGGTCATTGACTATATTTGGAGCGCTGCCAATCTAGACAATCTACTCGGATCAGACAATCAGCTGTTCTAGGGTAAATATTGTAATTTTGTTTGTTAATAAATTGATTGTCTATTTATGGAAAAAATCCTATGTTACCCCAGTCTTTAAAAATGGAGACAAATCTGACATTGGAAATTATCGCGCAATATCAAAGGTCTCCTTGGTGGCCAAAGTTTCTGACGGTATTTTTGTAGATAAAATCACCTCACATTTCATCAATGGACAACATGGTTTCATGAAGGGAAGATCCACCATAACAAATCTTTTAACTTATGAGCAGGCTTTGATGGAGGCTTTCAGGAATAGGTACCAAGTTGATGCATTTCATACTGATTTCTCGAAGGCTTTCGATAAAATTTGTTCATAACATTCTCCTCAAAAAGCTGGAGGCTGCTGGTGTACATGGCATTTTAATTAGGAGGTTTCAGAGTAATCTAACAGGCAGAAAATAATCTGTCAAAATGAACAATTATATTTTCTCAGAAGTGGAAGTTACTTCTGGCGTTGCCCAGGGTGGACACCTTGAAAATTTTGAAGATAATTAAATCCACTGAAGATTGTATTTTGTTGCAGGAAGATTTAAATAGATTTTCTGCTTGGTGTGAATTGAATAATTTGAGTTTAAACATCGAAAAGTGTAGTGTTATCTCATTCAGTAGATCTAGGAGCCCTTTTGTTTTCGATTATATACTTGATTCATTGGACTAAGAGAGACAAACCCAAGTTAGGGATCTTGGCATCTGGCTAGACAGCGAGTTAACCTTCATAAAATGTGGCGCTTCCGCCACGGTGTATAAAATTGGACAGCTGTTCTCGATTTTACAGCGATATTCGAGAAAGGGGGCTATCGCGTTTATTCTAGATTTTACCAGAATAGATAAAGGCCGGTATTAGTTGGTAGTTTTCAGTTTAGGATTGGCTGTGATACGTTTAGATAGTGATTATTGTAAAAGATGCAAAGAGTTAAGTTGTTTGAGTTAATTTGTGACGTAATTAGTGTCAGAGTGTGTAGTAATATGGAATAAATTATTGTTGTGTTAATTGGACTTTGATTTTGGAATAAACGAACCCAAGATTTAATGTCACGTACCCTAGAGCCGTGACATTGGTGTCAGAGGTGAGATATAATTCAAGGACTGCAAAGTGAAATCCGATTACAGAATAGTGTGGACACTAGGTGAACACTGAGACAGTTAGTCAGTGCAAGCAGTGACAATCACAAAAAGAGGGATCCGTCCGATTGTGTAAATTACCCCGGAAGTTACTGTATACCCGATTTTGACTGTGATAGTAAATTTTCAAGTAAGTTCGAGAAAATTCTATTTTGAAACCAAGGGAGATATCGAATTTGTGACTTCACCGACATATTTGATACATCAATTGTCATTCAGAAAAAGAATTTCGAAGAATTTCGGGAAAATTCCAGAACATTCTATTTGGAAACCAAGGGAAATATCGGATTTGTGACTTCACCGACGTGTTTGGAACTTCAATCAAAGACCAGAAAAGATATTTGAAGAGAGTTTGAGGGAAATTCCAGAACATTCTGTATATGCCGAAACAACCAGCAAAAAATTGAAGAAATTTTACGCAAAATGGTGGAACTTCAAGAGACCAAACGACAACAAGAAAAACAAGACGAAGCGGCTAGGGGACAAAAAGAAAACAAGAAGAAACAAGGCGACAATAAGTAAAGCAACAAAGGAGAAGCTAAACGACAGAAAGAGAAACAAAAAGAAGAAGCTAGACAACAACAAGAAGAAGCTAGACGACAACAAGAACGGCAAGAAGACATTGGACAGCTGCAGAGAATATTTCAAACCATACAAGGATCTATAGTTAACCTGGAACAAATAATTGAGAGAGTTAAAGCCGAAGTTGATGTTCAAGAAGTTAAAGACAATGTTCAAGAAGTTAAAGGCGATGTTCAATAATTGAGACAAGAAGTTGCGGACCAAGTTCAAGCACTTAGAAATACAGTCCATCAATCCAGGTATAGTGTTGGAGCATTCCCTAGTATACAGATAAAACCACCAACATTTGACGGTTCATCATTACAGACGAGAAGTATTAAGAACTCAAGTTAAATCAAGAATTCAAAAACCCGGCGAGAGTTTACAAGAATTCGAATCGGAAGCTAAAAAGCTAGTGAGTTTGGCATTTCCTGCAGTTGGAGAAGAGATGCAGAAATGGATAGCAGTATCTACGTTCATTGAGGGTCTCAGATATTCCAAGATCCAGGAAAACCTGAGAATGTCTAAGTTCAGACAAAGTAGCATAGCCTTTGTCTGTGGAACTGGAAGCAATCTTGGGTGCCTCACGACCCAGAATACGAGCAGTGTGTCCATTGAAGACCCAAAGGATAAACAATCGTCAGAAGAAGATGGTAGTTTCGAGAATGTTATTATGAGTCTTTTCATGGGGGAAATGAAGAAACTACTACTAGAAAGTAGAAAACAGGAAACGATTCTAGACAAACACCAACACCGAGAAACTGAGTAGAATGTTACCGGTGCCATAAGCTTGGACATATTCAACGAGGTTGTAGAGTAAGGATGTCCTCTCCATCTAGGGATTGTTCCCAACGCTTTTCGAAATCTAGAGACAAAATAAAAATACAAAATTGAATAATTTGAATACACATAATTTTTTGCTTTACATGATAAAGAAAGTGCTTCTTATATCTTATAACGTACTCAATAAAGAAAATAAGAAAATTGTGTAAATTCGGTTCGATTTTGTTTTATAAAAACGTAGGCTATTGTAGCGGACAGCGGAAATTTCCTGTATTTGTTCTTCGTATTAATTAGGTTGTTATAGGTGCAAATATAGAATATAGGATATCGGTCGACAGTATATTCATATTTTGTTCTAGTAACCTTCATTAGGATACGTGAATAATCATGAATTTATTTAAATTAGATAATAATCATTCGATCATGAGTTGCATTCCATAATAAACCTATACAAGTTTAGCACTTGTTTCTTTTTTGGCATGTAGGTAGCACAAAATCTGTTTGTACATAATAATATTAATTTTGTCCTGGTAAGTTTTACCCCCAGTGCATTGCCGTAGCAATAGGGTGGTAGGACCGACCACCGACAACAGGCAGACCTGGATTGGGCCGACGAGTTACCGAGTAAAACTCGGTGGGCCGGTCACTTTGGTACGCCGGTCAACTTCGGACTTCGGTGTATACCACTCACTCCACACTATTAGTATTTTGAGAGATTAATTAAATTTTCTTGGTAGAAGTTAATTTTTGCATAAATGGAATTTCTTAAGGACATTCTAAATAGCAAGGAGAACGCGTGACCTTGAAAATTTTCAAAATTTCCGCCAGCGGCGCTATTAGGAAAGCATATGTTATAAATCTCCCACTGGGTGGGTCGATATAAGAACTCCAACTCGGACCGAAAAAATTCCCCAATCCGGCCCTGACCACATAAGGTACTAGGCACATTATGACACTGTGTACCCCCTCCATAAATAGAAGCTAAATCCGCCCTTGCTCCCGAAGATAGACGATACATTAACAACTCTATCGGGCTCCGAATGGTTTTCCATCTTGGATCTCAAGAGTGGATACTGAAAAGTGGCAATTATACACAAAGATGACAAAGAGAAAACTGCCTTTAATACTGGAAGCGGGTCATACCAGTTTAACGAACGTAATGCCTTTCGGATTGTGTAATGCTCCCGCTAGGTTTGAGCGACTGATGCATCTTTGCCTAATTTGATTAATTATTATCATAGATACATTATTATTCAATTTTCCTATTATAATAATTTTCAAGAGCTATAGTTTTATCAAGTAAATTTGCTATTAGAGACTAATTAGGTTATACATTTTAATTTCATTTTCTGATTCTGTCTATTCATAAAGTGCCTCGCTATGGTTCAATTACAAATACTTTTTTGAGCACAATCCAGTGGCGTACTCAGTTTTTTCTATTTTGCTCCGATTTCGAGATATCGACCAAAGTCCGATATTTTTGAATAGAACACCCTAGGTATATATTAATAGCTCATTGGATAGATCTGTTTTTGCTGACTGATTTCAATGATATAAAGTTCGATAGGTTTATCTCAAACAGTTTTCGAGAAAAAAAATTATATCTGTTTTTGTCATAAGGAACAATGTGTTAAAAAAGGACTTTATATCTGTAAGGAAAATGAGGAGGGTCTCTTTCTAACACATTGTTTCTTATGACTGAAACAGATATAAACAGATATATTTTTTTTTTCGAAAACTGTTCAAAGATAAACCTATCGAACTTTATATCATTGAAATCAGCAAAAGTAGAGCTATCTAATGAACTATTAATATATGGGGTGTTCTATTTAAAAAAAATCGGACATATCTCAAAATGGGAGCGAGATAGAAAAAAACTGAATACGCCACTGGATTGTGCTCAAAAAGGTATCCCAAAGATATTTTCACAGAAATAAAAAAAATTGAAAAATGAGAAACTTCAAACTTCGATCCCATGTCATATGACATTTCAGTCAATTTTCCTTAATTTGGTCTGGAAGTATATTTTCCCTGTTAAAATGCTCCAAATTGCAGCACCCTGTACATACAGGTGCGGAAAAGTGAAAAAATAAATTATCTAAAATTGGTGAATATAAAGTATTGAGGTAGAATAATAAGGAGGCCAAATGGAGACAAACGTGTACCCAGTTCCGCCATATTGTGAGTAGTCTTATCTATTGCACTATTCAAATGATTACAGCGCCTCCTTTTTAATTAACTCGTGCGGAAAGTCGCTTCTCCTCAATTGATTGCAAACTGCAATCGCGTGTGGAAAAGTGGCACTTTCCGCACTAGTTAGGAAATATACTATGTATTTCCAAAAAATTTAATTTCAACCATAAAACTTTTATTTGGGACACTTCTTTCTAAAATGTCAAATAAAAAAGCTAGAGAGTGGTGACCGCGGTGGTGACATTTATAACCAATAACCTTGTGTACCTATTTTATCTACTTGATTTAATTCCTCAATTCCTTTCAAACCATTTTGAATTTACATTTTCTATAATTAGGATTTTTGATAACATATTGGGAAGTTCATAACGATATCTGGGATAAACTTCCTCGTTATTATTCCTGATTAAAATAACTCTTGAAACTACCTACTTCTCCTCTCTATGTCAGTGCCAAAGTTCTTTGAAACATTTACCTATCATTACTATATCAGCATATTTTTCACAAATCACTACAAATTCGGCAGCAATAAAGCAAAATCCAAAATAAAACGCATTTAAAAGTATAGGAATTTTATTAAAAATAAGATAACAAATTTCTTTTACCAATGCGCTACAGCCTTAGCTACCATATTTCGAATCTCATTGGATGCTTTATTCGTCTCTTTATAACCAAACTTCACACAATAGACCAAATAAATTTCACTCAATAAAAATTCAGAGAAAACATCCCGTTCCTCCTGTTCCACTATCCTGGCGCACTCCTTCAGTACCATTGATAAAGAAAGAGGAAATTTCTCTAAAAGCTCATCCATGAAATCTTTGCAAAAGTAGGTCACCGCTGAGTTAAGGGGAATGTTCATCCAATATCTTTCAAAAGGGTTGTAATGAATTGGATATTTTTTGGAAATATTTAGTTTTTTAGGCTTTTTTGAAGCAATTTTCATTAAATCTCGATTTATTAAAAAATATTTTTCATTCCCCTGTTGCCAATTCGATAAAAAAACGTTTTTATTTGTAGGTTTTAATGATTTATTTTCGGCCATACTTATATTTTCGCAACTAGTGGACATTCTAACAGTAACTAGACGTTTTTTCGCTCTTCTGTTGTAATCACCTGAATTTTTAAATTCATACAAAAAATCCTCAATAATAATATCGTCATTGGCACCTCCATTTTTAATTTTTGTTTTATTTTCAGCTAAATCGAGGTAATCCAAGGGCTGCAAAATGCATTTTAGAGAATTATTTTGAAATTTTTGCAATAAAATTTCACTATTAGGTATTTTTATTTTATTCATTATAATTTTAGTGTAACTGAAAAAAGGCGTCAATGAAGGCTCGAATTTAAAATAATCATTATCATTATCAGTAACTATTTTTTCTAATATTTGCAAATAATCCTTAACTTCTGTATGTATTAGTCTATTAAAGTTTTGAAACTTAATGTTTTGATTTTTTAAATAATTCAAATACATATCGCTATTAATATTATTATAATTTGAAGGGAAATGGTATTTTTTGATTACCGCAGCTCGAAAGCCGATAAACTGAAGCCATTTCCAAAAATTAAATTGATTATCATTCAATATGTCTGCAAAAGTTGATAAATTTGCTTCAGTTTTCTCATCTAAACCAAATAGAAGCTTCAAAGTGAATATTATAAAGCTCATAGCTCTTGCCTCATAGTTTGGTACAAAAACTTTATCACATTTCATTTTTGGCTTCGAAATTAAAATAAATTTCATCACGCAAAAGAAAACTTCATCAGGCAAATTTAATTCTCTACAATATCTGCGGCATAATCCGATCAAGTCAGGTTTTTGAATATACTTGGCGACCCCTAGAAATTTAATCATGTCGCCACATCGTTTCCGAAAAAGATAAACTCCAAGTAATTGTTCAGATCTCCAAGGCAAAGTCAAATTTTTCTCTGAAATATCTTCAGGAAAAAAATGTCTAAAACAGGCAAAACTCACATGGCCCTCTCTAATGAATCTTAGTAAATCTCCTAATTGTATGGGATCTTTGGTAATCAGCAAACCAATGTATAGGATGGTGTACAATGTGGACAAGGTCAGATTGGATGCGCTTCTGAGAAAACTGGCTCTCATTGTTTTTCGAGTTAATTTGTGGCAAGTTAATTCGCCATCGACGTCTTCCATGTGATCTTTTCGATGTTTTCTAGACATTATTCGTTTTAGCTCTGCGTTGCTATACCTGAAAAAGAAATATGGAATTTGATACAGATTGCATTCAAGTTTCTTGTTATGTACATATTTCATGTTGCCGGTTATTGTCAGAAATATCTGTACTGAATTTCAGCTTATTAAAGACTAAATTCTGAAGGTCCTTGTCGACAGTCCGGTGACTAGCATTAGAAAAAAAGAAAATTTCTGTCGTCCCTTTTAAATTTTGCCCTTCGCCTGAGGGGTCGAGCCTGGCTTAGGTGCAGCCATCTTCCTCAACTGTGATTATCGTTCTCGTGAAAAAAAAGTACCTTATCGGCCATCAGGCATTATTTTACCGGAATAAAGTTGCGTAAAGCAATAATCCGTTAATTACCGAAAAAAATTTAAATCAAGTCTTGTGATTACCGTTTTATTCAAGTTTGAATTTCAAACCGCCTCGTGGAGTTTTCGAGGAGCCGTTTTTCCAAGGAGCTGTTTTTTCCTAGGAGCTGTTTTTCCGAGGAGCGTTTTTCCGAGGGGCGTTTTTTCGAGGAGCGTTTTTCCGAGGAGCAGTTTCTCTCAAGAAATCCATTTTCAACAAGCCCTAAAGATCACCGTTTCCGTGCAGCGTCGGCATAGAGTTTTTGAAGTGATTTTGTGATTTCCTAGAGGAATAAAGTCCCTCACGTGTCGATACCTGTACCTCCACATTTGAAGAATAAAACTGAACTTCTAGCCCCTATCTACCTTGATTTCAGGCTAGAATCTGCAACTTACATTTGCAACTTTCCTCGTCAAGTGACAAAAAATGGATGGCTACCATACTCTAATTTTTTGTCAAAATTGAGGCTTGTATAGACTTTCATCTATTACTTTTAGGCTTTACCTTTTTTATGAAATCTGCTTTATGATCAATTTTAATTGACTATTTTCACTGACGTTACATTTAAATATTTAAAATTTCAATTTCACTTTCTTGGCACCGAAATGAACTTTAAATAATTATTTCTGATTTTTAAATTATCGAATTTATTATAGACTAGCGGACCCGGCGAACTTCGTAACGCCTCAGAATCAATAAATGTTAAGTTAACGCATTAGCTTAATTAAATTCAGTTTTTTAGTAAGATAAAATGATTACTAACAATAAATTATGTGGTTCAATAAATGTTCGAAAATCAAAATGGAACAAACCGCGCAATTTGACGCGGCAAATTTGGTATCGGTTATAAGACATTGCACCGTATGCATATTTAGTGAATTTTCTTCATAAATATGTTTTTCTTTTTCTTGTGTTTTTTTTATATTGTCAACTCATAAACGTATACACAAGCCCACGCATTACATAAATTTAGTAAATTTCCAAAGGAGGTCACCCCGGACTATTAAAAACAGACCGATTTTGCTTATGCCACCAATAATTTCAATATAAATTCACGCACTGCGGCAATGCAAAGCAAGGTTGGTCTGGACTGCTTTATGCCTGATAAGGTACGAGCCTAAAGACCTGCCTTCTTAGCTGGGTACGACTAGGTATAGTTGAGACTGTGAAACTTTTGGATGAAGGTCTCGTCTATAGCAGCCGTGTCATAGCGTCCCCAAGTTTAGACCTACGAGAACTATGCCCTTAGGGGGCCAGTTCTTTTAGTGCATCTTGGGTTACATTAAACATTAAACATTCTTACATTTCGAGTTGACAATCGAAAAGATAGTCCACCAGGGACGAACATCTGCGGTGTTAGGATTTTGGTAAATCTCCTTGAACTATAAGGTGTAATTAAGGTTTAGTAAGAAAACAAATTAAATATTCGTGGTGGTATTCCTTCCCCCCATATCCTCTCTTTTCAGATAAACCCTTAGTGGACGCAGCCAAGTGAAGTAAAAGTAGTGGCACTGCTGACCACAACCAACCTAAGCGTGACAATATTATACAAAATGAAAGATTATCTGATACAAATCAATTTTTGGATGACATTACAATATGTGGAAAAACAAAAGGAGAACATGACAAAAACTTACAGAAATGTATGAATGTTACAAGAAAGTATAATCTAACACTAAACCGAGCACTAAACAATGAGAAATGTAAATTTTCAATGTCAACTATCAATATTCTTGGATATACAATGGAAGAAAAAACCGAGGGAAAAACCATAAAAACTAATGCAGATAGGTTACAACCATTAATCAATTTAGCAGCCCCTACGAAAGTTGCTTCTCTCAGAAGAATACAAGGTATGTTCGCACACAACTCAAAATGTATACATGTAGGTACAAGTTTTCTGAATAGATACATCCCATTGTAAACCTGAAAAATTTTCCCATGAACAGAAAACAAATTCGAGCATTCCAAAGGTTGAAACAAGATATTGATGCTGTTGTATGAATGTATAAGAAAATGGAGGCATTATTTAATGGGACGACATTTCAGTATAATCACTGATCAAAGATCCGTTGCATGTATGTTTGACAGTAAGAGTGCATCAAAAATTGAGAATGAGAAAAAAAAGTCATGGTGTTGCCACAAGTCGTACAACAGGATACAATTTAGAGGGAAATGGACAATGTGAAAGATTTAATGCAACAATCTGGAAGACTATTCAACTTGAGATTAAATTTAGAAACCTAGACGTTGAACAATGGCAAGAAGTATTAATCTCTACATTCAATAAGATCCCTTTTGTATACTGCAACTAATTCTACACCTCATGAATGCATGACAAGCATCCTAGAAGATCGACTAATGGTACCTCAATACCTAGATGGTTGAGCACTCCAGGACCAGTTTTTCTCAAGAAACATGTTAGACATAGAAAATATGACCCATTAGTAGAAGAAATAGATCTTCTGGAAGCAAATTCAGATTATGCTTATGTATGTCTATCAAATGAAAGGGAATAACTGTATCAACTCGTCATTTAGCACCAAGGGGAGATGTGACTGTCAGTTCTGTCAGAACAAAACAAAATGCCATAACACTGCCAGAACAGGATCATAATGAGTTAACTATTCCTAAAGAAGATCTTATATCATTCAGTTCAAACGAAAACCTAAAGAAAATGCAAGAGCCAGGATAAAAAAATAAATAAAAAAAAAACAAAAAAAAAATACCAATACAAATTTTGATGACTTACTTGTTATAACTAATTTTAACACTAGCACCTGAAGATTCCGATCCACTTTTCAAATTGGACAAGCTGTCATTGGCCATTGAACTATTCTATAAAAAAAAGATATAATTAATGATAAAATATTTAAACTATAATAATTATTGCATACCTGAGTTAATGTTTGAGACTGTGACAACTCTTCGTACTGATTCTTTACAAGCGCCCTTTTTTTTGTAGACCTTTGTCTTCGCACACTCAAAGTAGCAGTGGACGTCGACAAGCTTCGCCTTCTTTTACGTTTTTTCCTATTATACAAAATATCAAGATCTTTTTTCGATCCTCGCACTGAAACTTTGGGGGCTTGATTCGTGTTTATGTCGAAAACTTCTAATTGGTGTAAATATTTCATCCACAGACACTTAACTGTTGGGATCAATTGGGGGTTTGCTCCTAAGTTTACCAGCTCTAGAGTCAAGCCTTTTAAGATGTAATTGTAGCATTCCCAACTGGTTAGTTTGTTTTTGGCTTTTTCAGATTTGTCTTTCTAGAAACAAATTGCAAACAGGTGGTTAAATGATGATGAAATTAAATTAAAAAATGAGTCTTTTGTATAAGATTTTAATAATAAGTTCATACTTGAATTTTTCTAGTAGATTTTTTGTGAATCTCGGCCTCTTCTTGTTCGAAAACGTGCTCTTGCACCTGCTGCGATTGCGTCTGACATTCGTTACAGTAAAAATGGCCGGATTCTTTGTGGAAATTTGTACCGCCGCACACTTCGCATTCCATTTCTGGATGTTCGTCCTCCATGGTGAACTGGATAGTATAAAGAGTCCCAGTCAGTATATAAAGAATATGAATTTGAAGGTGTTCTATTTTAATCAAATTTTTTTTCAAGATGGCAACCATAATAATAAATACTACTTTCAAATCTGATTTTCACCTTATTAATAAAAGATTTGGATGTTTTTGTTTAATGCGTAAGACTTAAATTTGCTCAACCTGATAAAAAATTAAGAAACCAAGGACCCTGCACACTTCTTATGGGATTTCTGACCGCGCTCAAATTTAACCAAATTTTAGTATGTTATAGATCTCACCTTTCTGATCATTAACTTCCATGGGCACAACTTAATCCTATGACAAGTTTTTGAGATACAGGTAGTTTAATGTCCAAGAAATGCACACGTTTTATATGCATTCATATCTACCTGTCACCTGAGCGTGAGGATACCTGTCCATCCTGGCATTTTTAGGTGACAGGTAGATGTAAATGCATATAAAATGTGTGCATTTCTTGGACATTAAACTACCTGTATCTCAGAAACTAGTCATAGGATTAAGTTGTGGCAATGAGAGTTATTGATCAGAAAGGTGAGATCTATAACATACTAAAATTTGGTTAAATTTGACCGCGGTCAGAAATCCCATGAGAAGTGTGCGGGGTCCTTTTAACTTTTTTTTTTGGATTTTTTTTTTGGCTATTTTTCTTTATACATATTTCCCAGTTCAATTTTTTTTTTTAATTTTTCACTCTATTTCAAAAATGTTTTATCCCTTTTATCATTTATCCTTGGATTTTTTAAATTTTAAAATGACTTGCTATTTTAATTTTAATCCGATTTTAATGTACTTAATTAAAGAAGTCAAAAGTTTTCAACTTAATCAGTTTTAAGCATACAGGGTGAGTCAAACATTTTAGCAGCTGTACATTTCTGTGGAATTTCGAAAAATTCAAGGGCATGTTGAATTCCAAGGAAATTAAGTGGAATGCCATAAGAATTACAAAGATTTCCGAGGAAATTACTTGGAATGCAATCGGAATTAAATGAGAATTAACTAGAATTCCAGGAGAATTAGATAGTGTAATGCCAGTTTAAAAATTTTGGCCTGCGGTTTACCCTTGGTCTCTGACTCTGGCCATATCAGTTGAGTTGATTAGGTTAGCTTTTAAAAAGAATTTTAAGGTTAATAAGTAAAGGAATTGATGTTTGTAAAATTAGCGAGGGGTAAATTGCTGCAGAATTAAGTGTACAAAAGGTATTTTTTCGAGTTCCAGCGAAAGTATGTAAAATTTCAAGCGAATTGGCAAGAATATAATGGAAACTCATGGAATTCAGTAGACTGTTGGTGGAATTCCAAGGGAATTGATTGTACAAAATTGTGGAATTTCAAAAGAATGAATGTGTACAAAATCATGGAATTTCTTGGAATTCCAGGGGAACTATGTGGAATATCAAGGGAATCACAAGGAATGTAATGGGAATTACATGGAATTCAGTAGAATACCGGGTGGAATTCCAAGGGAATTAAAATATACAAAATCGTGGAATTCCAAGGGAAGTAAAGTGTACAAAATTATGGAATTCCTGGGTAACTACAACTACTTAGAATTTCATAGGAATTCGGTGGAATTACTTGGAATTCCGAAGGGAATTACATGGAATTTTAGATGAAAAATATGGAACTAATAAATTCTTACCTTGATTTATGTATTATGGAGAAAAATAAATAAATAACAATTTATTTTTTATGAATAGTTTCGAATGGAAAGAAAAGGAATTTATGAGGGAATTTATTTTATTTTTATAAACATAAACAAAACATACATAACCTCAAAATTGAGCCGGGGAGCGGGGCCACGTTCGATAACTTTTAAAAATTGCACTGTTCGGATAGTCGGAGTGTAGATAAAAATCGTTCGTTTTTCGGAAAAGTGGTTATTAAGTAATGGCCAATTTCGATTAGAAAAAAATTTGGGCTGATTTAAAACAGGTTAAATATAATATTTAAGTGACAAAACATTTTTAGCTGGATTCGTCTTGCTCACTCCGAGTTCTCCGTAGGTAATCTGTCCGTTCGGAATGGAGTAACTTCGTTAACGTAAGCTGTACGGTAGAATTCTACTTTTATGACGTCAGGTTGCCTAGAAACCGTCATCATCGGCTGTACTGTACGCGATAAATAGGTCGCAGGTGACGTCATGAAAGTAGAATTCTACTTGTCGTGATCCCAGCGTCACCATTTTTGCAAACATAATTCCTGCGTGACGAATCGAATACGACTCTATACTATGAACACGACTGTAGTCTATAGATTATTCCACTGGTTTTCTTATAGCGTATTTCATTGGTAGAGCAAGTGCAACACTGGTGCAATATTCGTGATCCATTGGCAGAGTCCGCGCTGCACTTTTGTATTTCATTAGTTGTATTCCTTTCAAGAGCTTGAAACACTAGAGTTCCTCGCTCCGGTATAAGTCGACCCCGATTTGAAAGAATCAGATGCGCTGGCTTTCATGCATTTAAATGGTTTGGGTCGGGCTTCAGCACTCAGGTGCAACAAACACTTTTCGAAAGAAATGAGCGCGTAACGCTCCGGAGCTGCTTCTAGATGTGAAAGGAATACAACTATTCCATTTAAATGCACGAGAGCCAGCGCATCTGTTCCTTTAAAATCGGGGTCGACTAACCTCGGAGCGAGTAGCTCTAGTGTTTTAAACTCTTCAAAGGAATAAGTACAACTATTGGCTGTTTTTCTTCGTCTCTCTACCTTCGTTATATCTTTTTGCTCTCTCGTGTAACGAAATGGGCTTAAACGTGACGCGTCTTGCAAATCACTCTCCATTCTCGTCCACACTACTCCAACAGTTCGATTTCGTGTCAAGTTTGCACGGTAAGGGTAGGGGTAGGGTGACGTGACCATATTTTTTTTTTTTTTGAATGCTGTACAGGGTGAGTCAATTTTGGGTGGGAATGCCGGGTACAGCCTAAACGGTGATAGATACAAAAAATCTGATATTAGTGTCGCGATCTATTTTTTTGAGTATAGTTTAATGGGCCACTCAGAATTTTTCGAAATTCATTTGTTTTCGATATACAGGGTTTTTTTGGAAAATAGTTGATTTCTGTTTTCCTCTGTATTTCAGTTGTTATCAAATATTTTAAAAAATGTCAAATTATGTTTTTGTGTGATTTTTTACATAGAATCCAGTGGCGTACTCAGATTTTTTTTAGGGGTATTATTTTTCGAGATATAGTCAAAATTTCAACTTTTTTAAATGAGACTCCCTATATATTTTCACACCGTTAAATTAGGTTTTTTTTTGTGATTCTAATGATATATAACACTTTAAAGTTTCAATAATTTTAACTGTCAAAACCGCGAAAAAACTAAATTTTTAGGGTACCTATAGAAGTTGTTCCTCGGATTTAGGGATCGCGAACACAAACGTAGTACGGCGGTAGCGGGAGCAAGTGCGGTAGCGACACGGGATTAGACTTATCAAAAAATGTGGTGGGATATAATACATTTCATCCTAAAGGTAGGCGCAGACTGACGAGGGCCTGCGGAAGCGGGAGCGGGAACGAAACTTTTGCGGGACGTAAATCAACGGCGAGATATGAAGAAGTGCATACCGGTACGGAGAGAACGCATGCGATTCGCGGGATGTGTGCGAATTAATTTCGGTTCGTAGCGTGCAGCGTTTTTCCGCAGTTCGCATAGTAGTTTGATGATGTTTTTGTATTGTTTGGACGCTACCACGTGTTTCGAGTATGGCAGATACTATCGCGTTGGTGTGCATGCTATACAAACTCCTCGCTGCCGCATCTAATGTGTCGCTCCCATTCCCGCTCCCACTACCGCAGTCACGCGTCAATCTGCGCCTACCTTTAAACGTTATTTCGCTTACATACCTTGCCGCATGTTCTAATCCCGCGACGCTGCCCCTCCCGCAGTACCGCACTGTTGTGTAGGATCCTTCAATTGTTTTAATGACTATTTTTAATAAAACAAATCATATCCAGCCGTGGTTCATTTAATTTTATTTAAAATGAAATATTTCAATTTTCTAACATGTAGGTAAATAAATTGACTATAGGCAAACAGAATAATGGCTAATTGAAAAGTTAACTAAAAGTTTGGACTCGACTAGGATTCGAACTTAGAACCTCTAGGTTCAGTAGTCGCGTCTAACCCAAACTCTTCGTTAACTTTTAAGTAGCTACAATTCTGTCTGTTATGCCACGATACGGATTTTCTTATAAATATTATACTGACAAAAAATCAACCTTTAAAATTAAATATTAAGATGCTCGATAATTGTAAATAAGTTTTTTACTAGATGGACTTTTATAACACTAGTGTAGTAAGCAAAGAAGTAGATTTCAATAAATCATCAAAACTTCTATTGGAAACAAAAATTTAACGTAAACTAACTAGGTATATGGATCAAATAACTCGTGAACCAGTAACTTAAATAAACAAAAATCTTAGAAATACCTCATCGAACATCTATGCAGTTAATAGTGTGAGCGTGAGCGTGAGCTAATTTTTCCAGTGACTTAGTTCACGAAAAGTTTGGACGAGGCTATTCGAACCTAGGACCTCTAGATTACTAGTCTTATACCAACTGAGATACAGATGCCGTCGGTTCATTTTTGCCCAATCGGCCAAGTGTTTTGTCAACTTTTAACGTGTTAGTGCTACAATCTGCAAACTTCGGCGGTTACTGAATCTAGGGGTCCTAGCTTCGAAGCCTAGTTAGATATTATTCTGTCTGCTAGTTCACGTGAAAATGTTCATTAAAGGATCCTACACACCAGTGCGGTCCGTGGGAGGGGCAGCGTCGTGGGATTAAAAACATGTGGTAGGACATGTAAGCGAAATAACGCTTTAGGATGAAATGTATCAAATCCCACCACATTTTTCAATAATTCTAATCCCGTGTCGCTGTCGCACTTGCTCCCGCTACCGCCGTACCACGTTTGTGTTGGGGATCGCTAAATCCGAGGAACAACTTCTATTAAATACCCTAACAATATAGTTTTTTCGCGGTTTTGACAGTTAAAATTATTGAAACTATAAAGTGTTACATATCATTAGAATCACAAAAAAAAACCTAATTTAATGGTGTGAAAATATATAGGGTGTCCCATTTAAAAAAGTTGAAATTTTGACTATATCTCGAAAAATAATACCCGTAAAAACAATCTGAGTACGCCACTGGATTTTACGTGAAAAATCACACAAAAACGTAATTTAACATTTTTTAAAATTTTCGATAACAACTGAGATACAGAGGAAAACAGAAATCAGCTATTTTCCAAAAAACCCCTGTATATCGAAAACAAATGAATTTCGAAAAATTCTGAGTGGTCCATTAAACTATACTCAAAAAAATAGATCGCGACACTTATATCAGATTTTTTGTATTTATCACCCTTTAGGCTGTACCCGGCATTCCCACCGAAAATGACTCACCCTGTACACACATCTAAAATTTTGGGAAGGCGGATAGGTGAGTCGAAAAAGCACTAAATGCAAATTTTGTCGACTTTATAGCCCGTTTTAGTACCACTCAACAAAACAAACAAAAAAATTAAAGACATCATAACATAATAAAGGTCAGTTCGCACTAAGGTTCGCACCGTTCGCACAGAAATCACAAACCAGTCAGAGTGAATTTCATTGGTTGGAAACCTTAATGGTTGAAACCAAGGTTGTTTGAAAGAGGTAGAGCAGAAAGAGAAATGGACCCAGGACAGGACCATGTGGTAGGTACTACGCGAATACATCGTATGGTTTGGACAATTGCCTTTCAACTCTCACCTTGCAGGATCGTGCTCGCAGAAAATTTTCGATCCAGGTAGTAATCTTCCTCGTGTGCTAAGATGCAAAGATATAACGTAGAGAGACACAGAAAAACAGCCTATATTGGGGCCATTGGGGGTGTAACGATACTTGACAATGACAGCCGGCGCACGATTGAATCAAACCAAGGATTAAGCAAAGAGAATTGCCTATTATTGTCAAGCGCCGATACCATTGTGACGTCACTACAGATGCGCGTCTCCCTTTTGTGTGGTCCATCGTCTTTACCCCGCCTCATACGCTAACTCTAAAAGCTGTATGAGAGACGAGGGGGGAATAATGGATAGTTTTTAGCACGTGTGTTTGTACGATGCTGCACATGATTTTCTTTTTTTTTTTAAAGCAATTTACAAATAAAAAAATCAAACTAATCTAATCTAAATCTACCTTTTGATTGAAACATAAACAAAGGATTAAAATTTATTATCATAAGTTTAATTTTGTGTTGTTTTTGGGTCTTATCTATGGGGAAAATTTGTGATTGATTGATTATTAAATTCAAGTAATACCTATTTCCATTTTTGTTGATAAATCATTCGAAAGTAAATCATGTTTGCTAAATGTTTTGTGTCGTTTTTGGTATTTTTCGCAATAGTTAGTAGTGTTTTTACTATCGGCGACGAAGATATCCGTTGCACAGCCAAGAGTTGCAAGGTAAACTAAAATCCATCAAAAATTATAGGTACCTATCTAATCATCTAATATACAGGGTGTCCCACAAGGTTTTTCCCAAATGATAATTTCGGAACGCATCATCGTATGTTCCACTGTATAATTTTTTATCATTTTCTTTAAGAAAGCCTTAACAAATATGTGAAATATGGCATTGCCGATTTTGTAATTTAATTTTCTGATGAAAAATGCCATAATATACCATGAGTATGAGTTACATTTAAGATTCGAAAGTTATTACCTTTTTAAACAACTGAGAATACTTGTCAATAAAAATCTAACAGAGGGGAAAATACTATATACGACTGGGAGAGTGCCATCGTCGTTCTGATATACAAAAAAGGAGACCCATCAAATCTTGAAAAATATAGACCCATAGGCCTTTTGTCTCAGATATACAAACTGTTTATGAGAATAATGACCAACTGCCTGGAAAGGAAATTCGGTGATTACCAACCTAAAGAACAAGTAGGCTATAGAAAGAGCTACAGAGTACTATAGAACATCTTCACACAATAAGAATACCTACTAAATGAAAAGACGACCGAATATGAGTGAATATAAGATTAAAAGAGGCGTGACTGGCGTGAGACAAGGCGATATAATCAGGCCTATGATGTATCCTCTCCTGTTATTTTAACAGCTATGTTATAGCTCAACATCTATACTTCTCTCTATTTTGACGTATAGAGTAAAAAGTGACAGACAACTTAACATTGCTGTTAAAATAACAGAAAATGATACATCATAGGCCTGAATATCACTATAAGCTACTGTCCACCCTCACTCCTCGAAGATGTGCTCAAGGAACCAGGGAAAATAGAGGGATCAATATATCTTGAAAAAAACTCAATAATTTAGGATTCGCTGATGACATCGTTATATTCGCCCCAAACGAAGCAGGCTTAGAAATCATGCTGAAATAATTAGATACTACAAGAAGATTAGATTAGAAATGAACATATCAAAAACAGAGTTTATGACAAATGAGCCGCAAACAGATAACCATAGAAAACCAAAACCAACAGGTGAAAAAAGTAAACTACAATTACCTATCTAGAACAGGAAATAACGCTTGGCAAAATTATTCAAGAAAATCTTAGTAGAATACGACTGGGATGGGCGGCTAAAAACTAGAGTCTACAACAAATGTATTCTGCCAGTAATTATTCATGGAAGCGAAACCATAGACTCTCACAAAGAAAATCCTGAATGAACTGCAAGTACATCAGTAAAGGGGCTAGGACAGTTCTACAGCAAAATCAGTCATTTTCCCATGTAAATCTCCATAAGAAAATCTAAGGTCCGTTCTGGCAATTTTTGTACCGTTCAAGGTCATCCGTCCAGCCCGCCAGCAGTCGTTGCCGCTAAGCCCCGCCCCCTTTTCAGTGCCCATGTATTTCATCGGTCGCACTAACTGGTCAGCCGCCGCTGCGTTCGGGGTCATTGACCGTACTTGGCTCCAAGCGGCTCATCGAACACACATAGCAGCTCGTGACTTGGTACCTCATTCAAGGTGCATTGTACTGATGATGACGTAACTAATAATAAAACGTCGTTTCGCCATCGGGTCTGATGATGACGTAACTAATAATAAAAATGTTGTTTAGCCATCGGGTTTGATGATGAAGTCACTAAAAATAGAAACGTCGTTTCGCCATCGGGTCGTCAACATTTATTGCAACCGCAGCGAAACCATAACTTGTAACTTTCCTGTGACCTGCGATAAACAAGCTCTGACTAGTCTGTAGCCAATCACCAGCTTCGTATCCACCTGCACACTCCAGCGAACTTTTCCTAGAAATATGGGCCATCGTTTCAATTTTACTGTTGCTTATTACGTTGGCATCCTGCGATAAGCAAGTCCTAACAAGTCTCTAACCAATCAGAAAGCTGAGGTCCCTCGTCTCAAAATAAGAAACCAGCGACAACATTATTTTATTTACATCATATTGATACAACGTTTTAGCCCGTATTCGGATCAAAATCGCCGCTAGTTCGAGTCACTTTTATTGTCAACATGACTTAGACCCATGACTCATTTATACAAATATTTCTCTACAAAAATAATTCCGTCTCAAGTTTTCCTCATAAGGATTTTCCTGGTATTTTTGCTTCAAATATTCATTACCTATCATCAATATATTGCTAAATTATATTAACACGTTCACCAACAAAAACAAAAATAAGGCAAACGCGTCGCATAGGAAATTACACTGCTTGAGCCGTCCAGCCGCAATACTGATAAACTATTTTCATTCAGAGTAAACAATTAAACCTGCGACAATGATAAGAGCAGGCGTTACGTCATAGACATATATGTGAATATTTTCATCAATGCAGTATCAGTTGACTAAAAATGGTACAGTAGTAATGAGGGGACCTGAGCCTGGGAAAATTTTCGATACCGTGGGAAAATCTATAGATCGGCGGCGCCTTTGATCTGAAATTACTGGGATTTGACCCGGGGCCAACCCCAAATTTTTCGACGTCATTATGTTATCGGTGGCGCCATCTAGCGTACATAGTCTGAAGTTCGTTGTGTCCTTTTACAGGATGCCGTAGTGGTAAATAAAATAAATTCATAAATTAGCACGCCGCCGACGTTCAATGTCGTTGTGTTGTAAACAGGGGTATCATATTTCACGGTTATTTTTACTTATAACTGATAAGCGTTTCCGTTCTAGCAAAAACAACAAGCTCAAACTTGCATTTATATTTTATCGATGATAAACATGCATGGATATTTACACTGCCGACTAACTACATATATGTTTAATAATATATTTAAAAACAATCCAGCCCATAACCCCATAATACTTTCAGTCAAGTTGGACATTATCTATTACCCAACTAACAACCCTTAGGGCCAAAAAAAGGGTGATATCAAAAATTTTAAAAAGTACCTAACTATACCATAACTCTTTTTAGGCGGGGACAGCGAAGCTGCTTTTTCCGGGGTGTGCGCAACCCTAACTATTAGGGGAATGTCCGAAAACCGGATTTTGATCATCTGCGCACATGTCGTTAGGGCCTTATTCTATTTTTTCAATTATTTCGTGTTCTAGCGATCCGATTTAATTCGTTCTTTTACCAAAAATTTTCAAATAATTAGTCGCGTATTTGAAGACCAGTTTCACCCGTTTAGCATATGCCAAAAGGGCCTTATTCTATTTTTTCAATTATTTCGTGTTCCAGCGATCCGATTTGATTCGTTCTTTTACCAAAAATTTTCAAATAATTAGTCGCGTATTTGAAGACCAGTTTCACCCGTTTAGCATATGCCAAAAGGGCCGTATTCTATTTTTTCAATTAATTAACGTTCTATCGACTCGATTCAATTTATTCTTTTTCTAAAAATTTCTAAATAATTATTGGCCTATTTGAAGACTAGTTCTACTCGTTTAGCATGTGCCAAAAGGGCCTTATTCTATTTTTTCAATTAATTAAGGGCCGTAATCAATTTTTCTCGATTAATTCAGGTTCTATTGGTTCGATTTTATTAGTTTTTTTTACCAAACATTTCTAGATAATTAGTGGCGTCTTTGAAGACTAGTTCCAACCATTTAGCATACGCCAAAAGGGCTGTAATCAGTTTTTTCGATTTAATTTGCTCTTTCACCAAAAAATTTCTAAATAATTAGCGGCATCATTGAAGACTAGTTCCAGCCATTTAGCATAAGCTAACAGGGCCGTAACCAGTTTTTTCAATCAATCCAGTTTCTAGTGGTCCAATTTAATTCGTTTACCATAAATATCCACAATAATGTATTGGAATGTAAGTATCGAAAGTCCTGAACACAAAACAGCAGAGAGGATAACATTTAACAATAGCTTAGGTCTGAATAAAGAGTATGCAAAATTTCTGTCAAAAAAAATCTAAGAGTTGAGAGACCTTTCTATACAGTTCCAGATGACTTCGAGCGAGCGTGTAATCTCAACCATACGAGTACAAAAAAAAAAGCGCTCAAAATAGCTGGAAACCCATATTTGCTTCATGTTTCCATTGGTTCTTATGAAAATCCTTTTCAAAAATCTGATAGTCGTGGGTGGGGTGGAAGGGGGGGGGGGGTCACTGTGATATAAAACCGTTCAGTTCTCTGTCCCCATTCATTAGTTTGCAGTTTCTCAATGAGTGAAGACGCGCAACGCTAGTTCGCCTATACTGATCTATACGTTTGTGAAAAATAATAGTCATTAGAAGATGTCCCTCTTCGCAGATTTAGTGAAACATATAGCCTCTCTCCTGGGGCTACTTACACCAAAATATAATGATATCATCGCTAAAGAAGGACTGGAGGAATGTACTCGAGGAGTAAGAAAGCTCAACAAAGCGATCAAACAAGCAGCATCCATGGGTGAAAAGCAACACTTAGAGTCATGTCTGCGGAATATAAGAAGTATGAGGAAGCAGTTCAAGAATATGCAAAAGAAAGGGGCAGGACTTTCACCACGTCCTGAAGGAGCAAGAGAGCGAGTGCATTGGGATGATTCAGTTTCAGCGTTTAGCAGCAGGATAAGGACTGGAGTTATCTCAAATTTGAAACACAAAGAGCCCAAAGCATTCTTGGTTGATTGTGCTGCATTGTTCAAACGCAGGATCCAGAATGGTCTTAAAAAGGATGAAGCCATCAAAGTTAATGCAGTATTTTGTGGGGAATTCGAGATCGTCAAAGGTGATAAAGTACTAAAAGAATTTAAGTATTTCACAACGTCTAACTCGCCCATCTACCGAAATACTAATCTTGGGCAATGGTTTAATGAAAAAGTTGCTGAACCCATTATGCATGAAATGGAGGAATTCCAAGAACGTGACAGTGGTTGGGCCTTGAAGAAAATTGTTAATTTGGGCATCAACATTAACAAATTCACGCCACAACTAGGATCTTCATACGTAGAACTACCTTCTCAAATAGCTGCGAGGCATGCCTGTGTAAACGTGCAGAACACCGATAACAGATGTTTTGCATGGGCCATAGTGT